TTTAACCTTACTACCCATTTCCTCATAAACGCGTAGAGGTATTAAATTGAAATTCATACCAAATACTCAGGTCTATAATACCTTTAAGCTGTAACAAAATCAAACTTCTATGTCAACGCAATCAAAAGAAACAGCAATTTAAGCTGCATATTTTGAAACTCGCAAGTACTCGCAAGGGAATCAAAACCTAAAGGGTACTTCCAGTCGACCTAGAATCTTGAAATTTGGCATGAAGCAACGTTTTATAGCACACATAAAGGAAAAATTCCGAAAACCTTAAATTTTTAGTTACATTACAAAATATATATTTTTTAATAAATATAAACTTATTACTTTTTTCCTCATGAACGCGTAGAGCTATCAAGTTGAAATTCATATCAAATACTTAGATCTAATTGCCTTTAACCCGTGAAAAAAAAAATCTAAGTCAACGCAAAAACGCAAAACGCAAAAGTACAACCATTGATACCGCATATTTTGAAACTCGCAACTACACGCAAGGGAATTAAAACCTAAAGACCACTTCCCGTTGACATAGAATCTCGAAATTTGGTAAGAAGCAATAGCTTACAGCACAGGTAACAGAAAAATTCCGAAAAGCTTAAAATTTTAAGTAGTTATACCACCAAAAAAATTGTGATTGTAAACATAATTGTAGTTACAGCAATGACCGCGAGTTATTATACTATGTATGGGGAGGGCAACATTTTTCAAACGGCAAAGACGACCTCACTCATCGTCATTCAATCCCGATGTTTTGGTGAATGTAGCTGTATAATCTAAATGCGTTCTAACTGCTTAAAGTGTTATAAAGGGTTTTTCATTAGGGACGCTACAAAAGTAGATCGATAGGGACAGCAAACGACGCCATTTTTTTCCCCGTTCTTTTGACATTTCTCTTCAGTAACGTTTGCCATTTCATCATGGAAAGATATACGATCCAACAACGAGTCGAAATTATTAAAATTTACTACCGAAATTCGGAGTCAGTGGCCTCAACTTTAAGAGCGCTACGTCCAATTTATGGTCGTCATAATCGTCCTGCCAGATCAACAATTGAGCGTCTAGTGGAAAAATTTGAATCCACAGGCACAGTACAAAATGTTCCCGTGCCAGTGAGACAAAGAAGTGCCCGTAGTGTCGAGAATATTGATGCCGCTAGCGCATCAATTGATGAAGACCCAAATCAGTCTCTCACACGTCGTTCTCAAGCGTTGGGCATCTCTGTGACGTCGTTGTGGCGAATTTTGCGAAAAGATCTTGGCCTACATCCTTACAAGATCAAATTGACGCAAGAACTGAAGCCGCTTGACCACCAGAAGCGTCGTATGTTCGTGAATTGGGCTGAGCAACAACTTGAAAATGATCCGGATTTTCATCGAAAAATCATCTTCAGCGATGAGGCTCATTTCTGGCTGAATGGCTTCGTCAATAAGCAAAATATGCGTTATTGGTCAGGCAGCAATCCACACGTACTCCATGAGTCATCATTGCATCCCGAAAAAATTACGGTTTGGTGCGGTTTATGGGCCGGCGGCGTCATTGGACCTTACTTCTTCCGTGATGATCAAGACCGGCACGTTACTGTGAATGGGAATCGCTACCGCTCAATGATAACCGAATATTTTTGGCCCGAATTGGATAATATGGACTTGGACAATATGTGGTTTCAACAGGACGACGCCACAAGCCACACAGCGAATGTCACAATCGATTTATTGAAAACCAAGTTTGGTGAACGTGTTATCTCACGAAATGGCCCAGTCAATTGGCCGCCTCGGTCGTGCGATTTGACGCCGTTAGACTATTTCCTGTGGGGCTTCGTCAAGTCTATGGTCTATGCCAACAAGCCAGCGACGATTGATGAACTTCGTACGAATATCGAACGTGAAATTGCAGCAGTATCGGCCGATTTATGCTTGAAAACCGTCGAAAATTGGGTTCAGCGTCTGGACTTCTGCAAGCGTGCCCGTGGTGGCCATGCAAAAGAAATCGAGTTCCATACATAATGGCATAGAATGTACTTTAACAGGAATAAAATTTTTTATTGATATCCAAAATCGTTTTTGTTTTATTTAAAAAAACTTTTGTAGCGCTCTTATTGAAAAACCCCTTACTTATAATTAAATTCAATGACATTATTATATTTCTTATTGTTGGTTATTATCAGACAGCTTGCTTGTATTGTTTCTACTGGCGAAGTTTGATGGGACGCTGGTGGCACGGGAGGCACGCGGGGCGCGGGGCGGGGCATGAACGCGCTCGCACTGGCCCGCGGGCGCGGGGGCAGGCGACTGGCCAAGAGAAGGGGTATCGTCACACAGCGAGCGGCAGCTAGGGTTGCCAACTCTCCCGGAATTCCGGGAATCTCCCGTAAAAAGGCAATTAATTTTTAAAGTCTCCCGGCTCCAGGAACACAGCTAAAATCTCCCGGACATTTCATTCGATAGTTTGCCGCGCGCGGCGGCCGGGCGGGTCGGCGCGGCGGGGCGAGGCGGGGTGTAGTGGCGTGGCTGTCGTGAGCGCGGGCGCGGCGGGTGATCGCGGGGTAGGCGAGCGAGCGACTCTGTGCTGTGGCGCGCGCGGCCATCTTAATTAGTTGCGTAGTTAGCGGGAAAGACACAGGCTGCGTTTTGTGTTTATAAAAATTTTATGCGATCGCAATTGCTTGTTGTTTAAAGCATAATGTCGGATTCGGAGAGCTCAACGCAGCAGACACCGCCGAAAAAAAGAAAACTTAAGTATCACACAAGCTTTGAAGAAAACTGGTTGAACGATCCTCTGTTCAGTACTTGGATTAAAAAAAGAGATGTTTTCACGGCTGAATGTAAATTATGCAAAAGTGATATTGTAATAAAATACGAAGGCAAAAAAGCTCTGATTGTGCATTCGGAAGGTAAGAAACATAAGCTATTTCTAAAAAATAAGTCTTCAATGCCATCAGTCTCTAGTTTTTTTGTGAAAAAACATTCACGAGAAGAAGATTTAGTAACTGCCGCAGAAGTTACATCTGTATATCACGGAGTTAAACATCATCACAGCTACTCGAGTCAAGACTGTAACAATAAGTTGTTTTCTACGTTGTTTCCTGATTCAGAAGTTGCGAAGAAAATAGCATGCGGTCGAACTAAAGCTACAACTATTTGTGAAAATGTCATAGCGCCACTGTCGCAAGAAATGCTGTTATCCGAATTGCATGATTCGACCTATTTTTCTATTGGCACTGATTCTTCTAACAAAGGAAATTTAAAAATGTTTCCAGTTACGGTGCAATGGTTTTCACCCAGAGATGGTTTGAAACAAGGTTTACTTGACTTTTATCAAGACCCTGCCGAAACTAGTGAAGCCATTAAAACACAACTCTGTAAAGTTTTACAAGAAAATGGCTTATCCTGGGCATCAGTATCTTCACTATCTGCAGATAATGCTTCAGTCAACTATGGGATTCATAACTCAGTTTTTCAAAAACTTAAAATTGAAAATCCAAATATTTTGAAAGCGAATTGTAAATGCCATATTTTACATAATTGTAACAAACATGCTTTAAAAGCATTACAGTTTGATGTAGAGTCGTTGGTGTTGAAAGTGTACAGCGAATTTTCCGCGTTTGCCAAGCGAACTGCAAAACTTAAGGAATTCTTCGATTTTGCACATTTAGAGTACAAAACTATCCTCCGCCATGTGCCTACACGATGGCTTTCATTGCTGCCAGCTTTAGACAGACTTCTTGTAAACTGGCCGGTTTTGAGAGAATATTTTCTTAATGAAGGCGAAGATGAATGTGCTATAATAATTTGGAGGGCCTTTAAAGATGAAAACTGTCTTCCATTATGCTACTGCTATTTTATTCACAATGTTATGCAAGTCTTTGATATTTCTATAAAAAAACTGGAAAGTGACTATATTACATGCACTGAACTACACACGATTATGACGGAGTTACGAACCAAAATTACTAATAGAAAGAATGATAAGTTCTACGGACAGTCAGCGACCCAATGCCTGAACAAGTTGACGGAGATTGATCAAAATACTTTTAGAGTAGATGCGGACAAATATTTGGAGCGATGTTTGACTTATTTGCATAAGTGGTACGAATTCGATGACTCTATTTACAAGAAAGTGAACATTTTGACAATGGACGAAGAAATTGACTGGAATGAATTAAAAGATCTGGGTGCTTCTCTGAATGTGCCAATAAATGAAGATAAACTATACGATGATTACTGTTTACTGCGAGAGATTCGTGAAGTCGTGGCAAGCAAAACAAAGAGGGTAGACTTGCGCTGGGTTAATTTTTTTGAAAAATGTAAGGACGAATCTGGTAAAGAAATTAAGAAATTGGTTACATTCACTCTATCGATCCCTATCGCAAACGCCGCTGCTGAGCGTGTTTTCAGCGTAGTGAACGAACTGTGGTCGAAAAGTCGAAATCGGCTGAATGAAACTCACGTGAAATCTGAAATACAAGTGTGCACAAACTACAAATATACCTGTAAAGAATTCTATGATTTTATTGTATCTAATCAAAAGGCATTACAAGCTGCTCGCAGTGTAAAAAAATACAATTATAAATAAAAATATTCGATTTTCATTGATTTTTATTTTACCTCCCGGATTACGCCATTCGCACGAGCGCCCGCATGCTGTTCGCACGCGTTCCGAAATAAGTAAAATTTGCGACAATTTCTCGTCGATTTTGTTTGTTTCTGCTTTGTTTTCCAATTGCAAAACTTTGTAAAGATATAATTATGGCTACAGTTGCATTAATCGTCAACGAAAATACTATTTTACATAGTATAATACCTATGCCTCCCGATGGAAGTTGTTTATTTCATGCAATAGCGTTTTCTATTTACAATTCCACTAATTTTGATCAAACACAATTACTAAGAACTACAATAGTTAATTATATTTATGACAACTGGAACGAGTTTAATTTGTATACAAGCAATGCCCGGGGAGATCCTTTCTCTTCACGACAAGAGTACAAAGCTACGATGCTCCAATCCTCAAGTTATGGCGGTACTGCTGAGGTGAAGGCAGCAGGATTTTTGTATCCAGCGAGGTTCGAAGTGTATGAACGTAATACGGGTATTCTGAGGGGTGTGTTTGGCAGAGAAGGATATGCAATAAAGCGTTTACTTTTTTCGGGTAATTTATCATCGGGTCATTATGATTTTTGTTCGCCAATCGGGTCCGAAGAATTACTAAATAATACATACGATAATACGCAGGAAAGTTTGGTAAATAAAACGCAAGATTCAAAGGTTGGTCGTCCAAGACGTAATAAAGGTGGTCGTCCAAAAAAGTCTAAAAAAACCCGCTCAGAACAAGTACTTGAAGCTAAACAGAAATACAAGCAAACTCATCCTAAAATTAATAGGCCAGCTGTGGCATATCGTACGGCGACGGACCTCGAGGAATCTCAAGGTCAGCATCTTCAGGTCAATACCGAACTCGTAATCCCTAAAACATCAGTATACTCCATGACCTATACACCTAAGTCACCTACGCCAATATCCATGACGTATACTCCTAAACACTCTGCGTCTTTAGTAGCTGATAAGTCTGGTGATACACTTTCTCAAAAAATTCTATCTATTCCTCGGAAACGAAAATCGTCAGAAGACCTTAAAAAATATAATAAAGAGAAAAAACGTGAATCGAGAAATAAAGAAGACGTTAAAATTAAGGAGAGAATAAGAAACAGACTGTCAAAGAGATTACAAAGGTCACAGGAATCTACACGGAAACGTGATAATGTACGTGCTCGTAACATGCTAGCTCATGGTGTGTTACGCGAGGACCCTGTATACAGAGAAAATGAACAAGCTCGTAACACGGCTGCTCATCGTGTGTTACGAGAGAACCCCGTATACAAAGAAAATGAACAAGTTCGTAACACGACTGCTCATCGTGTGTTACGAGAGGACCCTGTATACAGACAAAATGAACAAGCTCGTAACACGACTGCTCATCGTGTGTTACGAGAGGACCCTGTATACAGAGAAAATGAACAAGCTCGTGACACGACTGCTCATCGTGTGTTACGAGAGGACCCTGTATACAGAGAAAATGAACAAGCTCGTGACACGACTGCTCATCGTGTGTTACGAGAGGATCCTGTATACAGAGATGAAGAGCAAAGTCATAACACAATTGAACATCAATTAAATAGGCAGGATTCAGATTATGTTGAACGTGAGAAAGAGACGCGTAATTTTAGAAAAAATACTTATCTACGTGATTGGATGGCCGTACGTCAAAATTTTTTTGATAATATCGCAGATGGTCACACGAATATCTGTTCCTGTTGCGGTCGTTTGTGGCACAAAAATTCGCTTAGTGTCATGAGAAAAGATCAGTTGCCTAAAACATTTTCAAATCAAAACCTAAATGATTTATTTCAAATCAATACATCTGGTGGCTGTGGTTCATTTTGTTACACGTGTCAAAAATATCTAAAAGAAGGCAAAATACCAAGGCTTGCCATGTACAATGGTTTAACTTATCCTGTAATTCCAGATGTTCTGCAACAACTTACTCCACTTGAGGAACGTATTGTATCACCACGACATATATTCCTTAAAATAGTCAGGCGAGGTCAAGGTCTCGGTTATCAACATGGATTGGTAGGGAATGTAGTCAACGTTCCAGTCGATGTTAACACTATGGTCTCAGCGTTACCACGGCATGCATCTGATAGTCATATCATAACACTTGTTTTGAAGCGAAAAATGTGCTACAAACACGGTCGTCAGGAGCGTATTCGTCCTGCAATAGTGAGAGAAGCAGCAAAATATTTAGTCCAAACAGAATTATTTAAAGAATTAAATATTACATATGATGATAACTGGGCATACGACGATGAAGTTGATGGTGATAATGATCGTATAGATAACAATGAATGCACATGTGAACTTGGTGAGTTAATAGATGAACCAGTAAATCCCGGTAATGCTGAAACTTTACTTGATAATGAGCAGGATGTCGTCATAACAATGGCACCCGGTGAGGGTAAGTACCCGCTATCACTACTGTATGACGACTTTCTTGAAGAATTAGCTTTCATTAAGATTCACGGTGGAATTAAAAGGCAGTTTAAAATAAAACTAAGTTCTTCTGACATAATGAAATCCGAAATAACTCGGTATGATAGAAGGGCTATGCGGCCAGATTATTTGTTTACTTTATTAAAGAAACAACAGATGACCCAAATAGGTGGACACATAGCTACTTGTCTTCGAAAGAAAACCGTCAACGGCGCTCCTATTTTAGTAAACAACCTTCTTAATGACGACTACTTACAGAACCTCATTCAGCATGACGATGGATATAGAATTCTTAGTAGTGTGAGAAATTCCCCAGCACACTGGGAAGAAGAAAAGAAAAAATTGTTAGCAATGATTCGGCAGTTCGGTGTCCCAACATTGTTTATGACGATATCAGCAGCTGAAACGCAATGGCCTCATTTAATAAAACAGCTTAAAAGCACAGTTGACAAAGAGGAAGTGTCGCTTGAGGAATCACAAAATATTCCATACGCAGAAAAAGTGCGACTCATTCAGTCCGACCCATTTATATGCGCTACTTTTTTTGAAACACGTTATAAAGAACTAAAAAAAACATGGCTGTCTCCCGTTGGGCCTTTTGGTAAACTTAAAATAAACCATCAATACCATCGAATAGAATTCCAAAACAGAGGTTCTCCTCATGCCCATATGATGTTGTGGATAGAAGATGCGCCTATCTTCATTCCTGGAGATCAATCATCAACTGAAAAGGTTATAATGTTTGTTGACCAAATCATATCCTGCAATAGTGAAGATTTAGATGAAGACTTAGTTAAGATACAAACTCACAAACACACACATTCATGTCATCCCAAGCCAAGTCGTCCTTGTAGGTTTGGAATACCTTTTTTTCCAATGGATAAGACACGTCTTCTGACACCTCTGGAAGAAGATAATCCAAGCCTAAAAGAATGGAAAGAAGTATCTAAAAAGTTAAAGGACGACTTGGTGAATATTCCGCCACATTTAACATTTGATGAGTACTTAGCATCGACAGAATTAAATATCGAAAAATACATATGGGCAGTTAGATCAACACTTAAACGGCCCAAAATATATCTACAGAGACGACCAAAAGACGTCATGGTTAATCCATTTTGTGAAAAGGTATTGGAATTACAGCGAGCTAATATGGATTGCCAATTTATACTAGATCCATTTGCCTGTTCCGTTTATATTGTCGATTATATTAACAAAGCTGATCGGGGCATGTCAAATTTACTAAGAGCGGCGGTCGAAGAGGCCAAAAATGGCAACAGTAGCATAAGAGACTCTCTACGCGCAATATCAAAAGTATTTTTAAATTCTTCGGAAATTTCAGCCCAAGAGGCAATTTACTGTCTGGCGGGACTTCCGATGTCACAAGCCTCTGAGAGCGATGTTTACATAAACACAGGACACCCCAATGAACGAGTGGGTATTTTGAAATCTTTCATAGATTTGCAGTCCTTGGATCCATCGTCCACAGACATATTTAAAAAAAAATTACTGGATCATTATAAAAATCGGCCACGTGATCAAACGTTTGATACAATGAGTTTAGCTTATTTTGCTGCGTATTATACTTTTTCAACTAAAATCTCACGTACACATGAAGGTGAAAACACTGACCATGAGTGTATAGGAAATTGGATTGAGTTGTTAAATAACGATGGATACGTGCGAAAAAGAAGGAAACCCAGGGCCATACGTTTCCGAAGATATAATAGAGCTCAAGATCCCGACAATTTCTACAGGGAGCAGCTAATGTTATACACAAACTGGAGGGATGAAATTAGTGAATTAGTCAATGACGTTATAAACCTCGAACAGAAATTTATTGAACTTAGTGATGAAATCCGTTCAGAAAGTCTTCAATTTAATCGCTTGGGGGGGCCAGATGAGTTTGAGGCATTGTTGGATGCAATTCGTAATGTAGATAAAGATAAAGAGGATGAGGATAGTGCAGTGAAAGAAAAAGCTCGTCCTTTAGATGATTATGAATTAGAGACACAAGAAGGTGATCCAGATCATTGTCTACAGTTACATGGAAATCAATCAGATTTAGTAGGAGGAGCGATTGCCCAACCAGCAGTTTTGTGTGAAGATGATGTATTGCGTTTAGTTAGAATATTTAATTGTGATCAAAGACATTTTGTTTTACATGTAGGACATATTTTCACTCAAGAATCACCACCACCTTTTTATTATTTTGTTAGTGGTGGAGCCGGCGTGGGCAAAAACAATACAAAGATAGAAACAAAAAGAACGATGCATTCGAAGAAATTTCTCAAGTCCTAAATATACCCAAAAAAGACGTAGAAACTAAAATACATGTACTGCGTACTCAATTTACTAGAGAGAAAAAAAAGATGTCGGCAAAAAAAACTACAGGCAGCGGCGCAATAGAAAAATGTAAATGGATTTATTACGAGCCATTGGAATTTTTGTTATGTGGTGCAACTACTTCTGGTGAAACGGATACTATGAATAAAACAGTAAGTTGTTTTTGTATATAATTGTTTTATACTACTGTCTGTAAAATTATTACAATTACGCTACATTATTTTGCCATGGAACTCTTCCCTCTGGAGTTATAAAGTAATCGGCAAACTGTTCTCTAATACAAAGAGCTGATTGTGATGCAGGCCTGCCCCGTCTTTGCAAATCAATCATAGGAAACGAACTTAGTTCCCTTCGCCAAGAACCTTCTAATAGGTTACCTTCAGAGTCTTCAAAATCAAAAGTTTGTGGAGGTGTATATATGGATCTGGAAACTGAGTTACGTCTTAAGAAGTTATGTAAATATACACAAGCAATTACCACGAGTTCACAATTGGCTGGTTTTAACGGAATAGGTTTAGTGAATACACGGAACACCACACATAAAATGCCAAAAACATTTTCTATAATCCTCCTAGCTCTTGATAGTCTGTAATTGAATATACGCTTTTTGTTCCCACGTTCATGAATGCCAGGATATGGTTTCATGATGTTCTCCGTTAGCGCGAAAGCACTGTCACCTACAATTACATACGGCATTTCTGTTCCGCCTTGTGTTATTGGTTCAGGCCGTGGCAGTTTAAGTGAGTTTTCTAACAATGCATTATAAAACGGTGTTTCTTGAAATATTCCACTGTCGGACGACCGACCCTTAGCTCCATAATTTGCGTAAATAAAGTTGTAATTGCCATCTGCAATTGCCATAAGTACCATGCTGAACTGATTTTTATAATTGTAGTATTCACTTCCAGAATTATTTGGCGCCACAATCATAACGTGTTTCCCATCAATGGCCCCAATGCAATGTGGAAAATTCCATCGTATTTCGAATTCACGACTTATTTGTTTCCATTCTTGTTCCGAACTTGGAACCTAAAAAATAAATAAATATATAATAAGATAATAATTTACAGGTAGATGAAAACAATGCACTTGAAAGTGGTATGGAGTCAGAGCCATCTCAATCACCAAGGCCGAATGCTACAACATCTACATCTTCGAGGAAAAGAAATAAGACAGATGAATCAAATGAAATATTAGAGGTTTTGAAAAGTGCTAAAAAAAAGATGGATGAAAGGGAGAAGAAGGATCCATTTGATATATATGGTGAATATATTGCTGCTGAATTAAGAAGTGTTAAAGATGACCAAGCCGTGACACAGGCAAAGTACCATATTAATAATATACTGTATGAATTAAAAATGGGACGATATAATACATATGGATATCAAACGGCATCTTCTCATCCATCATCAACACCAAATAATGTTCAGGAAACTGAAATAAGGGAAATTGAGAGACACGAAACAAATAGACTAGATGCATTACGAGACGAAACAGAAGATTCGGCTATACTAAACTTAGTTAACTATCTCAGTGATGAATCAACGCAATAGCATACACTGTTTTTTTGTGTTTTTTAATTAATAAAATACTTGATTACACAAATAGTGTTCTTGTACCTTGACATATCCTTCTAGTGAGTTAATTAGTTCTTGACATACATCTGGTATAATTTTGCTAATCAATTGTTTTGATACTCTGAATGTGTATGAAAGAGAACTGTATGAATCTCCAGTTGCAAGATACCGTAATGTAATAGCCAGCCTCGTTTGAGGTGAAACTGGCTGACGAATATTTGTTTCCCTTTTGGCTATTGATGGACCAATCATTTCTAGAAGATGTTCGAAATCACTTTTCGACATTCTCGTAAAGTTACAAAATGATCCATCTGTCATTCTGAGGTCACTCATCAAATTTTCTCTTTGCAAAAGATAATTTCGAATCCACCATCTTTTTCTCTTTTTTTTATTAGAGATTCTATACATCTGATACAGAGAACACAACAACACTACCTCCTCGGGCAACATTTTAACGCAGACTGGCGTGTGGACAACCTGTATTGATTTAAACATAGTTGCTAGCAACATTCTCGCCGCTCACCAACAATGTTTAGCAACTGTTGCTAAACAAATGTTTACCATGAATACGGGGCTTAAGGATGCCGTGACAGATGGATCATGTAAAAGATATTATTTAAATAACCCAGGCGCTGCAAACGGCCATTGTGAATGCTTGCATTTTGAAATGTTTAATATCAGAGTGATAACTGTATATAGGTCACCACAATGTCAAATTAATGTTGCAATAGAATGTATAAATACAACAATATTCGGCAGCAACCTCAATATGTACACTTCATCTTCTCGTCTGATTGTTGTGGGAGACTTCAATATAGATTTTAGAATGAATCCCCAAAATGGAATTTCCACATATTTTTCATCCATCAACATGTTTCCGTTAATAAACAGTAGCACTACACGAAATTGTACAACTATTGATAACGTTTTTTCGAACTTCAATGTTCAATGTGGTACCATTCATAACTTTTTCAGTCACCATTTACAGGTCTGGTTCAAATTTAATACTTAATTAATATTTTTGAACCAGATTTCTAAATAGTGACTAAAAAACTTAGTAAATAAATAACTTTAATAAAAGAACTTTCGCAAGTCTGCTGCAAGGCTAGTATAAGTGTTTCAGTTATATTATAGATAAATGATATGTGTTAATATAAAATAAAGGATTACTTAAACGATAAAGAGATCTTTGTCTTAAATTTATGCTCCTCCATCTTTCCCCATTGTAATGTTATGAATTTCATTTTGCAATAAAAATACCATAGTTATGACTCGATTGTGCGAGTCCGACTCGCACTTGGCCGGTTTTTTTTGGTGGGAACAATATTCCCTCTAACCGTAGCCGTCGGTGGTACCGGCGTAACCGTCTTCCTTGCTTATTTTACAGATCGTTCAAAATGAGCAAGAATACTCTAAAGGATTATGAAATAGAGTCAGCACTGGAGGAGATGTTCGGTTTACCATCGGATCCAGATATATCCGAAGATGATGAGGAATCCGATGACGAAAATTTTTACAATCAAATATGGCAATCTATAATTTTCTTTCAAAAGTTACAGGTAATGTTGATAAAAAAATACATACAGCAGCATTGTTTATGGACATGACAAAGGCATTCGATGCAGTTGATCATAAGATCTTATTGCAAAAAATGTACTGTTATGGCGTTAGAGGCAAAATACACGACCTTGTAAAATCGTACCTGATAGGAAGAAAGCAATCAACAGAAATAACTAGAATAGATAGCAAGACAAAGATTGAAAAAGCATATCGATCAAATTTTAGGACTGTTACCCATGGAGTTCCACAAGGAAGCGTACTAGGTTCTTTGTTTTTTCTAGCTTATATTAATGATTTCCCCTCAGTATTGAACCATCAGGTTACTTTATTTGCTGACGATAGTACTGTTGTTTTTGATAACTTTAATTTAATTAATCTTGAAAATGACATAAATAATTCTTTGACATGTATAATTAATTGGCTTAATAATAATAATTTATTAATTAATTTGGACAAAACTAAAATAATGTATTTTAAGCAAAACACTAAAGATTTTGCATTAAATATTAACTATGATGGTAAAAAAATTGGTGAAATACAAGTGACAAAGTTCTTAGGGCTGCTCATAGATTCTAGACTAAAATGGAAATATCATGTTGAACACGTATGCACTAAGCTGAGTCAGTTTTCCTATGCTTTATATAACTTACGGAAAATGGCTAATGAATCGACTTTGTTGACAGCGTATTATGGGAAAGCAGCACCGACATTACGATATGGATTGATATTTTGGGGAAATTCTACTGACGCAACCACTGCATTCAGGGCGCAAAAGAGATGCATCAGAGCTATGTTTAATCTACCACCTACAGAATCATGTGCATCGTTTTTTAAGAGGTTAAAAATATTGACTCTGCCGTGCCTTTACATTTTTGAATGCGCTGTCTTTATAAAAAGTAATATTAAAATATTTAAGGCCAGAACTCGTGAACGTCATATTGGAAAACTTTGTGTAGTCCCCTGTAATACGGCACTATTTAGGAAAAGTGTGTTTTGCAATGCTCCTATTATTTATAGTAAATTACCCGAAAGTGTGCGAGAAATTACCGTGACCAATATATTTAAAAACAAATTACAACATTTTTTAATAGAAAAATGTTACTATAATACGGTGCGTGAATTTTTGGAAGACAAAAGTTTTTAGACTTATATAGAAAATGACATGCATGAAATAATTTCAATCATATATTTATCACTTATTGACATTTTGAATTAACTATGTAAAATTTATTAATGTGACATTGAAATAATTAATGTTTTATAGAAATATTATATTGCATGCCGATAAGGCAGAATATGGCTGTACTGTATTAACATGTATCTATGTAACAACTCTGCAACCTGTATTCGCAATAATGATGATTTGATTTGATTTGATTTGAATCATACGAAATTACAACGGATTTTAGAGGACTTGGATGAGCCAGGAACAAGGTCAATTGACACAATAAGGGTTTCGCCTCAGCCCTCTACATCAAGTGAATGCCTGGAAACGGTAACAGCTTCGTTATCTCCTCAACCATCCACGTCGAATATAACCAGTAGCAGCCACCCTGGTACATTACCTGCAAGAGGACGGGGAGCGGGAGGTGAGGCGCGAAGGAGAAATGGTTCCCCTGTGCCTTTAGATAGAGAGTCATCAGAGTCAGAATTAGAAACATGTGCTTCTGACGAAGATGAAGACATATGGAAAAAAATACAGTGGTCTGACGGTAGGCCACAGCCTGGCACTTTCGATAGTATCCCTATGATACCAACTCGCATGTTACCACGGAATGCTAGGACTGTTCGTCATTTCGATCGTTTTTTTAATCCTGAAGTTATAGAGTTGATAGTTACTGAAACAAACCGTTATGCCAAACAAAATAATGTAATGGGATGGATCGATATAGATAGTAAAGAATTGAAGGCTTTTTTAGGGGTAATAATTATAATGGGGTACCATATTTTACCTTCTGTCGAGCTATACTGGTCATCGGATCCCGGTTTTAGAGTAGATGAGATATCTTCTACTATGCCCTTCAGAAGATTCAAACAAATATTACGATGCCTGCATCTGAATGACAACTCAAAACAACCACCGAGATCTGATGCCGCGTATGACAAACTATACAAAGTTCGACCGTTGGTGACTCTTTTGAATCAGACTTTTCAAGATAATGCACGCAACTCTTCGTCACAGTCTATTGACGAATCGATGATTCTTTTCAAAGGACGGTCTTCCTTGAAACAATATATGCCCCTAAAACCGATAAAACGGGGGTTCAAAGTGTGGTGCCGCTGTGATGCTGATACAGGTTATCTATATCAATTTGATATTTATACAGGAAAAGATGGTGACAGAGCGGAAGATAATTTAGGAGCCAAGGTGGTTACAAAGTTGACGGAAAAATTAAAGGGAATGGAGGCAGTACATGTCACATTCGACAATTTTTTTTGTGGATTTGATTTATTGAACTATCTGCATGCCAATGGCATATATGCTACTGGCACAGTACGCAGGCAAAGGGCAGACTTGCCTAAAATTGTGAAGAGCAAAAGAAAACTAAAATTAAAGAAGGGTGAATATAAATGGAGGGTAAAAGGGGACATAGCCTTTGTGATCTGGCAAGATACGAAGGAGGTTTTATTTTTGTCTAATGCCTTCCATCCGACGGTCAATAAAACATTCGTAACCAGAACTCAAAAAGATGGGACTAAGGTTGAAGTTCCATGTCCTTCAGTAGTAAAGGAGTATACGCGAAGAATGGGCGGGGTTGATCACTTTGATCATGTCAAAGGCACATATTCGGTGGGACGCAGAAGTCGGAGGTGGTGGCTTCGCATATTTTATTTCCTTTTTGATGCCTGCATCACCAACTCGTTTTTACTTTACAACAAAAATGCGAATGCTACGCAACTTACTAACCTAGAGTTTCGTGTCAGCTTAGCTAGAGGTCTTATTGGAGGTTTTTCGTCTCGAAAACGTAGTTCTGTTGGTGTTAATTACATTGTAAGAAAAAAATCTACAAAAATCTCCGAAAATTATCAAAAGTCAGTTCATATTACTGCTCCGGAAACTCGATTTTGTAACGTCGGAGAACATATGCCAGCTGAACTACCATCCTATCAAAGGTGCCGGTATTGCAGCACAAAGATCAAGGATAAGCGGTCCAAGATCAAGTGTAGCAAATGTGAAGTGCCACTGTGCGTCACACCTTGCTTTGCGAAATTTCATACAGAAGTTTAAATATTTTTTCTATACTTACACTTGATCTTTGACTGCTTATCCTTGATCCACCAAATATTGTATAAGATGTTACCTACATAGTTTTTGTATTGTGTACTTGTTGTTGATTCTATAATTGTTGATTCATAATATGTAACTTTTACTTGTATGGTTTTTGTAGTAAAAAATAAATCTTAAGGTTTACAGACCTGTTCTTTTATTCTTTTCACCTTCCTAAGTCCTGCTAATATAGATCCTATGCATCTGGCATATTCTTCTCAGCATAGTCTTCAGTATACTCTACAGAATACTTATTGTTATCAATTTAAGTACATCTTATGGCAGGCAGAGGGAATATTTTTACCACCAATAAAAAAAAACAGATATTTTTTTTTTTTATTATTTTATGTTTTTAAGGAGTATTAATAACCCCAAGTCGAAATCAGCTTGGATTTATCTCTTCTGGATCCTTATGTCCGTTAAGGGGTTAAATTGCCGCCTTACCACAGCGACCACAACCCAATTGAAAAAATCTGAAGCCTTGTAAAAAGTAAGGTGGCGGAAAAGTAAGAATAACTGAAGTGGCCCTTTAAGTCTATTACGGAGGAAGATTGGACAGCTCAGTGCAAGCATGTGGAACATTTGGAGGAGCAATATTTAAAAAATGCCGGCTTTATGGATGAAGAAATGGACCGAATGATCATATAAACGGCTAGTGATGGTGAAACAGAATCTGATTCTGTTTCCATCCATTCTTCGGTCAGTGATATTAGTATGGTCGCTGATCACAACTATTAATTAAAACTTTGAATATTTTTTTTAATGTTTTTCTATACCTTTATTTTCATTTTCATCTTTTCCCTTTGAGTTGGTTGAATAATGGTTGAATACCACTTATATACTTTTGACATAACAGAAATATAGTGAAACATAAGTAATCTGTACTATTGTTATAACTTGCTTATTATATTATTATAACTGGCTTGTAATATTTTACCACCAACCATTTATGAAGAACCAATGGAAATTGACCACAATTTTCCTCAGTGTAGCTCAAATACAGACACTCGAGACAAAACTTGTAAGTATATGTTACAGAAATAAGTACATTTTTTTTTATTGTAAACAAATACAATGGCCTTCATTAAATTATTGCTACCGTGTTACCTACAGATGAAGCTAAGAATCCTCAATCAAATGAAATGGAAATGGTAGGTCAACAACAGGGTCCCTTGTGGTAATGGACAACGCACTGCACGCAATTAAACAAAGCACCTACAATGTCGAGTATCAAAAGTAAAATGCAGGAATGGCTTCGAGAAAAGGGAGTATATTTTGAAGCCACCTGGACAAAAGCTGTGCTGCTTGAGCTAGTCAAACAAATTAAAGGTCCATCAACATATGCTGTGGAGGAATTATTGAAAGCTCACAACCATGAAGTGCTTAAATTGCCGCCTTACCACGGCGACCACAACCCAATTGAAAAAATCTGAAGCCTTGTAAAAAGTAAGGTGGCGGATAAGTAAGAATAACTGAAGAGGCCTTTAAGTCTATTACGGAGGAAGATTGGACAGCTCAGTGCAAGCATGTGGAACATTTGGAGGAGCAATATTTAAAAAATGCCGGCTTTATGGATGAAGAAATGGACCGAATGATCATATAAACGGCTAGTGATAGTGAAACAGAATCTGATTCTGTTTCCATCCATTCTTCGGTCAGTGATATTAGTATGGTCGCTGATCACAACTATTAATTAAAACTTTGAATATTTTTTTTAATGTTTTTCTATACCTTTATTTTCATCTTTTCCCTTTGAGTTGGTTGAATAATGGTTGAATACCACTTATATACTTTTGACATAACAGAAATATAGTGAAACATAAGTAATCTGTACTATTATTATAACTTGCTTATTATATTATTATAACTGGCTTGTAATATTTTACCACCAACCATTTATGAAGAACCAATGGAAATTGACCACAATTTTCCTCAGTGTAGCTCAAATACAGACACTCGAGACAAAACTTGTAAGTATATGTTACAGAAATAAGTACATTTTTTTTATTGTAAATAAATACAATGGCCTTCATTAAATTATTGCTACCGTGTTACCTACAGATGAAGCTAAGAATCCTTAATCAAATGAAATGGAAATGGTAGGTCAACAACAGGGTCCCTTGCGGTAATGGACAACGCACTGCACGTAATTAAACAAAGCACCTACAATGTCGAGTATAAAAAGTTAAATGCAGGAATGGCTTCGAGAAAAGGGAGTATATTTTGAAGCCACCTGGACAAAAGCTGTGCTGCTTGAGCTAGTCAAACAAATTAAAGGTCCATCAACACATGCTGAAAGCAACCAAACACCTAACGAAATAAACGAGATTGCTAGTTATGAACCAGAACCAGTAAATTTAATACCTCATAATGCTCAACACGAAATTGCGCATGTCGATAATGAGACGGTTTTAGAGTCTGCTGTTATATCTGGTAATGGTAATGCTAATAATGATAGATTACTTATAAGAACTGTTTCCGTCCACGAAACTGAATCATCAATAACTGAAATACGATGAAGCGATAACATTAAAATTGAATTAATTTCCAAAATTACGATGGATAGGTTAGTGTCATTTTCACTTCATTCGCAGTTGCTGATTCTTTAAAATATTTACATTATTTTTTTCAGGTATGCTTCGAAATCTTTTCCAGAACATCCTCAGTGCAATCTTAAAAAAAAACTTTACGTTGCTCGACAATAAAGATGCAAGACTGCTCGAATGCACCGTCATTTCTATGAATTGCGAAATAAAATGAATCAAGACAATTTCATTCTGCAGCACTGCCGTATTGCAAAATGTTCTAGAATTAGACTAAAATAATCTAAAGGACCTAAAAATATGAGTGCAGAATACTACGTTACGGTTAAAAATCCACATAAACAAATAAGAGTTTGTAAATCTGCCTTTCTTAAAACATTGAAAGTGGGTATAGATCGAGTTACTGGCATTTTAAAAAGATATTTTAAAGATGGAGGGAGTATAGCAAAGGCGGTGGCAACCATAAAGAAGCACGTTATGCTGAAATACGAAGAAGGTTAGAGAATTTATAGAGGCTTTAAAAGCTGCAGAACCGCATTACTGTTGAGCACTGTATTTGCCACCAATACGTAATATCGTAAAGCTCTGGAAAATGTACCTAGAGCAAATTAAGGAGACACCACAGCTTAAAGTTGAACAATCTTATTTTCGTAATATTTTTTACAAAAAAGTATAGTGTTGGATTTTGATCGCCTTTGAAAGATACCTGTTCTCGATGCTTTGAGTTAGCTAGAAAAATAGAAACTGCATCCACAAGTGAAGAAATGGTAACATACAAGTCGCAGAAACGAAAACTTACCTTAAAAGCTAAAGCTTGTTATCAATTATTGAAGGTTGAACCAGAAAGTTGTATTTCACTCTCCTTCAATTGCCAAAAAAACTATCAACTTCCCAAATTACCCGGCCAAGCGGCTTACTTTAGTAGGCATTTGAATATGTGGGTCGATTTCAGACAAGCCGTGAAAACAGGTTTTTCCTAATAAAATTCAAGATATTATTTATGTTGACATCATTTCACGCAATATTATCCTTAAATTAACTCTTTGAACAGAACATTTCATAATTATTGGTCGAAACTAGTAATAATAATTTAAATAACAAAAAACCATGTATCACTTCATTCGTGTTATATGTCTTTTTCGGAGTATTTCAAGTTAAAGTCCAAATAAAAATTATTGACGAGTGGATATTACGATTTGTTTTTATTGGGGTAAACTTGAATAACTGTGGCGTTAATTTATATTAATTATTTAAAGATTAGGCAATCGTGAATATGATTTCCCAGCCTTTTCTTGCGCCTATTAACATTAATGCTCATTAGTGTGACCCGAACTTCTAAATTTATATAAAAAAAACGAATGCTTACCCCGATGCCTGCATTTTACTGCGCGCTAAGGGGCCCCAGTGACGCGTGAACGTGCGACGAGAGCAGACGTGCGCTTCGTCAAACCGGTAAGAAACTTATGTCCAACTCGATTTCAATACTTGCACCCAAAATGTATTCATTTGCGTCCAGTGCAATGCAGGCAATAGTTATTTTTCAGTAGTATTGCAGTAATGTGCAAAGAATAGCTATTTGTGACACAGATTCGGTGTATTTTTTCGATAGCTTCTAGATTATTCGACGACGAAATATTTCAATTTTCATTTCAAAAAATCATTTGTGTCGCCTCATTAGTGTCGATTTTATAGGGACACTAATGATATGCAATTTTACCCAAATGATCCGAGTATTTTTTTTTCATCATCAATTTCTTATATGCTTATATAATGCACACTTGTGTTTTCTTGCTACCTACTGTAAAGCTATGATTTATTTATTTTATTATAACTTCACCTCTAAGTTTTTGATCTTAGGGGTAATCTCTGGCTCTCGTGTACCGATTATGTTTTTTTTTACCAATACATTAGCTTGCAATTATATAATCATAGTCGTTTGCAGTTAAATAAAATAACTTTTTGAGTACCTACCTACATGTTACTTAAGCTTAGGTTATCTAGCCCGTCCAAACTAAAAGCATCTTACATCTTTTTTTGCGAATTTGTTTAAGGTCAAAATGGCAAAGGGAAAATCTCGTGAAGAAGACCTGGAAAGAAAAAGGGTGGCGCGGCGGGAAAGATATAAAAAATTAAAAGCCAACCCAGAGAGATATTCTATTGAACAGCAAAAAAAGAGAGAAGCCTATTTAAAACGAAAAATTCAAAATAAAGTAAAGAGCATAAAAGATATGTCCCCACGGGAACAAAAAGTCCAAAGGAGGCGATGGAAAGAAAGTTCTAAACGATACTTAGAAAAAAAAATCAAGGAGCGACAAATAAATGAAATTAATATTGACGATTCTCCAGCCGCCGAAAATAGTAAAGGAACGGTTGATTCTTTGAGTGATCCTCTTAAGGAATGTACAATAAAAACAGATAATAAAAAGGGAACCCAGTATTATAAAAACAAGATTAAATTATTAAAGCTTAAACATTTAAAAGAAAAAAAAGAATTGTCATTTTTAATCAAAAAATATAAAAATAGGTGTGGAATTTTAAATAGAGTAAATAAAATACTGAGCCAGAAACTAAAAAATAAAAAAGATAATATTAACGATGATAATCATCTTGAACTCCCCGCTCCATCACCCCATTCTGATTGTGATAAAGAAGCTGTACAGGCTAAAACGAAAAATATAATTAAAACAAAAGAGAAAAATAATTTAGACCTTCGTAAAAAGTGTTTAAATGACAGGTTTCTGAAAGAAATAAATAAAAGCGGGGGTGATATTCAAAAATTAGTTAAAGAATATTATGAAGATGATATCAATAGTCGTATTGGCGCAGGAAAGAAACAATGTGTGAAAAAGTATGGAATTCAGAAACAGAAACGGTATATGTTGGACTCGATTAAAAATCTGCACAAAAAGTTTCTCGAAGAAAATCCTCTAATAAAAATCAGTTACGTAACTTTCTCAAGACTTCGACCATTTTGGGTATATCTGCCTAGAGATGATAGAGACACGTGTGCTTGCACTACTCATACTAACATAGACCTAATTATTCATGCTTTAAGGAAAAATAAAATTATTGATCTAAGAAATTATCAAGAAATGCTAGGAGTCCTGTGCTGCACCAAATTTTCTGCTAAGTGTGTTGCTCGCGAATGTGATGTCTGCAAAAATGAATCGATAGCTTACAAAGAATTTGATAACCAGGAAGAAATAGAATATTATGAATGGGTCCGAGATAAAAAGAAAGTCGGGGCCAAAGATATCAACGTTGTCAAGAAAGTTTCTCAAAAAATAAATCCTAGAAATCTTATACAAAAATTAGAATCATCATTGCCGAAGTTTTTTGTTCATACAGGGAATATACTCAATCAATACCAAGCTATAACAATGATAAAACAGTCTCTGAGCCCTAATGAAACTTTACTACATATGGACTTCTCCGAAAATTATTGTTATAAATTCGCTAAAGAAATACAAAGCTTACACTTCGGAGGCAGCCGAGGACAAGTTTCTCTTCATACGGTAGTGGCCTACCTTAAGGAAGGAAGAGACAATGCTCACTATTCTTTCTGTACCGTAAGCGAGTGTACGCGACATGATGCACCAGCAGTATGGGCCCACTTAGAGAATGCTTTAAAATTTGTATTTGAAAAGTGTTCATCCGTTACCACCGTTCATATTCTCACAGACAGTCCAACCAGTCAGTACAGGAATAAACAAATATTTTACATTATTACTCAACTTCATAATACTTTTCCATCTCTTAAATGTGTAACATGGAATTTTCAAGAAAGCGGCCACGGAAAAGGAGCACCTGATGGCATTGGTGCGGTAGTAAAAAGGTCGGCAGATTATCAGGTAAAATGTGGAAATGACGTTGGTGACTTTACAAAGTTTCTTGCCGTCGTAAAAGAAAACGTTAAAAACGTTGAAATAAGAGTAGTCAACGAAGCTGACATTATAGAAAAAGAAATTATGTTGCCTAAGGATATTTCGCCATTTAAAGGAACCATGTCGGTACATCAGGTACTCTGGAATATTCATTCTGACTTCCTTGAATTCAGAAAATTAAGCTGCTTTTTGTGTATTGAAGAAATCTGCCACCATGACAATAAACATATGCAATTGCATAAGATTTATAAGAGTGCAATCGCATCATCTGTCGAAAATGTAAAAAATTGTTCCAGCCAGCAAGCAAATTCATGTTTTAGAGGACATAACCCTGCAATTCAACGAGTCTCCTAAGCCATCTACATCTGGGCTACGCCAAATTCGTAAAAACCAAAACGTTGTTACACTTGCAAAAGTAAGAAATCACTGGGAAAATCAGACCTTTGTTAATAGCCAATTGAAAACGGGTGAGCACGAACAAGAATTTATTAATTTTATTAATGCCATGTCTAATCAGAAGAAATAAAAAATGCAAGTTTTATTCATTATTACACGCCTCACAGTGATTACTTACTTTGCTTTACTTTTTTTACTCTAATCATATTTCTAATTATTATTTTGTCTAATTGTAATATTTCTCTAAACTACCTCAAACAAATACCACTAACATTGTGATTAATTTTAATATCAAAAATTTTATATCTTAACCAAATCAAGAAAATTAAGAAAAGAAGTATTATGATTCCAAAAATTATAAATTACAAGGATAGAATTGTTAATTAGTTAATTATTTTTATTTTTGTTAGAGTTTAATGAATGCGTTAATATTATTTAAAATATAAAATAATTTGTGGTTCCAAAGATTAATAAATAAAAAACTGGATAACAATAATTACTTCGTTGATTCAATAAATGTGATTTTTTTAGTATATTGTTCTTTTTTATTTCAAACTGAATTACTAAACATTTTTAGAAAAATGTCCTTTTTATTGGGTGGGACATTATTATCACATAAATCCAACAATAAGTACTTAAATAGTAATGTGGTATAAGATGCAAACTAATATGCAAGTGGCTCTCATTAGTGTCACCCACATTTCATTTGTAAATCATGTAATTTCATTAGTGTAACCATCAACTCATTCGTGTCAGATAATTTTTTAATATCTTTAAAAGTATTCAATTCCCCCCAAAGTTTTTAAAACTTAGGGGTATAATTTGAGTTTGGTAAACGTTCCGCACCATCAGATATCATTTACACGGTGTTTTAAAAAACTCTTATAAAATGTATCATTTTAATTCGATTCGTGAAATCGACCCATGTACAACATCACAGTTGTTATCGGGACTACCAAATCCACTTTGAGTTAGTTATTTTCTCATGCACCATCACATATGCAACATGAATTATATTTCCTATGGTAGGACACTCTTTCTTGCCACCGGACATTATATTCGTAAAGATTGAAAGGGAGACCAAACAAAATCGATCATATGCGATGTGAATTTATTCAAGGAAAACGCGACTGTTTATCATTTAGGCGATGACAACGTTGAAGTGCGTGATTGGAAAAAAGAAGTCACTACAACACTTAAAACTACAGGAAACTGGCATTTCAGGTTCAACCCATCGAAACGTTTTATATTGCGCAGGGGTCGACAGAACGTTCGTGTGCAAAGGGAAGAAAACTATGTATATATATATATATAAAATGAAATAGGAAAACCAAAATATGTAACGAAACGAGGAAAGAATATAACTGATTTGGCACCCGCAATTTTGCTAAGAGGTAGGTGTGAGCGTTCTAAAGACGAACCGGTTTCAAGGACCGTTTTGTGTTCCGCGACGATAGAACCGTTTTACGTTTCGGATCAAAACAGTCTTCGTCGAACAACTAGTCTTCGGATTGTCTGCAAGCCAATATGTTCTTTATGATTAAGTAAATACAGTCTATAATAGAACGCAATGTTAAGAGGCCGTTTCGTTCTATGATAATTAAGCTTTGATTTTACAATAATATAACCTTTAGTATTGAACACTTAAAGTCGATTATCGTATAAGACTACATTTATTTCGATGTTTCGTCGTCTCATTCGCAGCAACGAAACGAACGTTAACAAGTTTCGTTTAGTTCAGTTTCGTTGCGTTACATTCGTTCGACCGTCGCGTGTCGTTTCGTTGCGTCACCCAGCCGCAACCAAAACCAGTTGCGAACGAGAACCGTTTCGAGGACTAGTTTTCGTTTAAGAGAAAACGGTTGCGTTTCGTCGTCAGAAAATTTGAGAACGACCCGCCGCTACTAAGAGGGAACAAAGTGAACATCAAGAAAATACTTGATGTAGCAAACCTTTTAAAGAAGCACTTCGGTGAAGATTGGAAGACTAACGAGAATTTGAAACATTATAAAGATGTAAAAGAAAATAATAATAATTATGAAGAACATAAGGGCCTTCAGTGTGTCCCACTAAGAGAAAGTGAAAATTTTATATAATTATATTAATAACTACAATAACCTTTTTAATAATACGAAAAAAGTTTTATTCATATAAGGACTATTTCCTAATCACAATCATTACTTTTATTTTAGTTTCAAGCCACTCTTTATAACATCCTGTTGTGAATGTCCAAATTCGCTACATCCATTTTTTTATCTATAGTTAGTTGTTTAATTCAAAACTTTGAAAACAATTTAATTTGATAAGTCCCAAAAATAAATATGTTGAATCAACCCCAAAGAAAGTTAAGGCATGGCGCGGGGATGGCATCAGTTTTTAGAGGATTCTAAGGGAGATTTTGCGAAAGGTGAAACGATAAAAACTGCCTCCCTCTTTGCGTCGATAACGTGAAGATAGTCCAGGATTACTTATAAACTAAGTGCTTTTCCTCAGGATATGGCTATATGTAGAACCAATGGCTCAAAAACGAGATTGTGTTTTCGAACTAGTGCCTAAGCCGGCACACATTATACCAATTTGGAACCTTCTAATTTTCACCCGTTTCCAAAATTAAATAGACACCTTGGTGGTCAAAAATCAACAGCGAATGAAGAGGTCAGTGTTGCTGTAAATCTTACATTGTATTTTGAAGAATATTTCGTTAAATCTGCTTTGGAACTGGTGGAAGAAATGCAGACATTTAGATGGAAAATAAGTCGAAAAAATAAAAATCTATTTGAACTTTCCGATCCACATATTATTGCTTGAGGTGCCCGAATTCGGGTAATGTATTTCGTGCACTACAATACAAGCTAAAGAGCAAGTGTAATCAAGCCATTAAGATTGTCAAAGTTATTTTCTTGTGCGACAGTATCGCAGCAACACTGATATAATGAAATGATTAAAATTATGTCTTAGAAGGGATATATATATATATATAGATATGTGATGAATAAATTCGAAAAGATTTTAACTTTCTGTTTCAACGCCATATTCGTCTGGGGATTTCGACCTTATTGCAATGCAAATTTAAGCATCTCAGTGCACAACGATAGGGCATGCTTATTTCCATATAAGTTTTGATAATTATCATAAACGTCACCTTTTCTATGTACCTAGTCAGACATCAATATATACCACCAAACATTAAATATGATTGCATTTATTTTTAATGACAGAACTTCACAACGATGATTCATCTTTAGTTTAAACGGACAATACAACATGATTTTTTTAAATCAGACACAACATATTGCAAATCAAAGTGGTCTTCCACGGTCATTCCATGGGGTAAATTCAACAAAAAATCGCTCAGGTGGAAGTAGTGAAAGATACACAATGAGAACAAATATCTCTGTTTACCAGGTCCCGCCGATCTCTAGAAAGAAAATTAAAAATATCTTGAGAATGTTTAGAAACTGATAAAATTCTTTTTCACTTCGACTCTCCACATGAAATAATATAGAAAGGACCTTTTATGAAAAGAATTCCAATTGAACAAAGACTCAATTACAGCGTCTGGTTTCTGAGAATTTTTTGATTCAGTGCATGCGCTTGAATGGACGTTGATTGACTTATGATCTAGACAAGAATAATCCAGATAAACAGAGATCTAAAATGCAAAAACGTGGATTGAAAGCAAAAGCAATAGCTCGACTAGACTCCGAAGAAATCAAAATGAAATGTCTTTTGGAGCTTCGACCATTTTTGTAGTCCAAGGAATACAAAGAAAAAAGTACTTCTACGAAAGTTTTAAATTGGAAGATGTTATTAGTTTTACCTTTCTAATGGAGAGAAACAGATAACGCCATAAAAAAAAACAAAACTGTTCGGAGCACTTCAGCCACTTGAAACCTACTGCAGCCATAGAATATGTTTATGAATGCAGTAGTTTCACAGGGGCTAAAATATTGCTATCTCCAAACGCACAAGTTTACGACGAGATCAAAAAGGGTTTATAATGCAGTAAACATTTTTTAATCCAAAAGCTTGCCAAGACAAACTATTTGAAGGCGATCAAGTACATTTGCAAACTTTTTCTATACAACGAAGAACGACCATCAAATACCTTTATAAAAGCTTTGAAAATTATCCGAGTTGCGTTTTCATAAGAAAATATTGTAGTGTTTCCAGCTGCTGATTTTGATACAATAAATCCTTTAGAAATATACCTAATTCAAATACGAAAACCAATATAAAACAAACAATATAGCAAAATTTTTTTTCTTTGAATACAAATTTTGTATTAGAAATTAATCACACCAATATCAAATTAAAATGTTAGCATTCCAGTATATATAATAAATAAGAAAAAAAAACGATTTTGCGGGTAAACGAAGAAAAACTTTTTAATATTTTTGTAGACAAACAAAAAGGATTGGAAATGAAACAACGCTAAAAAAGTACTTTATAATCATATCCTGTCACAACATAGAACATACAATTAGGCCTTAAATTTAATTTCTATATACATCATTAAATTCACAATACAAAAGGTATTTACCAAATCCGAGTCCAGACACGCGCTAACGTCAACAAGCGCTAAGACAATTTGAGCTATAATTGCTTGCACTTGATTTCTATTCTCCGTATCGTTTTCAGACAATCTAGACATAGAAGCGCAAGCGATTATTAAGTTCTGATACACATTTTTATATGAAAGACTGATTGGTCAAACTAACTATGGACAATACTCCGTTTTTTTTTAATACTATTAGCACAAGTCAATACTACACGTGTTTGGACTCCAACAATACATTTAATAACAGCTGAAATCATATTCGCTTGCACTAAATCAGACAATAAAACCAATACAGATAGGTAGATTCCGCTAGAATTGGAGTCGCCCGTCTGAGGAAGTAAACTCCACCTTACAGAAGACAACAGTATTGCTATAGCTAACGCTATCGTTTTCGATTTCATTTTGGGCTCTGACTGCCGAAGGCTTTCAAATACCTCACGCTCATTTGTTTATTATTATTATTATTACCAATGCAAAAGAAAAATGAAACGCGCAGAGCATTCAAAAACCTTCGGCGGTCAGAAATAATAAAATGAAATCGTAAGCGATAGCGATAACCATAGCAAACCCATTAGGCGATTGGTCTTCAGGGGTTCACGGGGTAACGGATTGGGTCAGGGTAGGCAACGGTACGAGTGATATTTCTGGTATCGCAACCGTCTATAGCCTAGTGGCCGCTTACCATGAGGCGGGGAGTGCGTTTGTTTGCTACCAATGTAACATAATAAAAACTACTAGCAAACCAGTGAAACAAATCTTCACCAAAACCTAAAAAAAAAAAAATTAATTAATTGAGAACTTCGGAGATTTTGTGTGGTTTCGTTTGAAATTCGTGATTTCTCGAAAACCGGAAGTGCTACGTTACTCAAATCCGGTTTGTAGTCTTATCAGACTATTCTTAACTTATAACTTAAATATTCTCTTTATCTATCTCTTACGGTTTGGCCGCTGAAACAGCACCACAGACAGACGGACGGACGGACGGACTTGTCTAATAGATAAGAGATTCGCCGGATCGACATTGAATCTGGGCTTATTGACATATAAATTTTTGAATTAACCTTATAAATAAAACAATACGTTAGCCGTCAGTCCCGGCTGCATCTGCAGTCGTTAGCAAGAACCAATGAGGGTTTTCTGGAATGACGTGCACCAGGTGGCAGCAGTGAGACTCGAGGTCTACTCATCCGTCAAATCGCGTATATCTTCATAGTCTATGGGTCAATTTAAATGCTCGTTCTATTAGTTCGCGCCAAAAACTTCATACAAAAGACCTCACAGTGGCGCCAACTGGTGACGTAATTTTTCATGAACACCCCCATTTGCATTAGCCCTGTCTCATAATGTTAAGGGTATTCTCTGTATTCCAACCCGTAGGGTAGGACTGTGCCCCAGCAGTGGGGACACTAATGGGCTGATGATGATAAAGATCTTGATCTCTTGTCATTTGTACGTATTCACATTCAAAAACAGTTTATTCAGTTTAGGCTGTTACAAGCACTCTGATTATATACAGATTACTAGCATGTGACGTCATTTTAGTCATGGCCAACAGATACAATTTAATGCCACTTTGGAAGGAAGTTTACAAGCATGTGACGTCACTTAGGCTTGGCCAATCCCAGGCGTCTTACTATAACAAATTTCGTTCTGTTAAGTCAAGGCGGGGTCTGGCGGCGGCGCCATACAGTTTCCGTCCGGATATCGTTTCTTGAACGCGGCTATTAATTCCGGGTCAACTAGACGTACACCGTCCACCTGGTTTCCCAGTGTTATCCTATAAATAAATTAATAAATAACACAAATAAATATTTCCAGCACTCACACCAATTAGCCTAGCCCCAAAGTAAGCACTATAAGGCTTGTGTTATGGGACGGGGACAATCCTATGGCAATGAGATGTTGGAATCAAAGTAGAAATAATATTTTACGAATCTTTAGCAGCGTATAACAAAGCAAACGCACAGACAAACTTGCGCAGTAGATGCTATAATAGGGTATTTGACATGTTTTTGAAATCGGTAAAGTAAAGTTTATGGAGTCCATAAAAAGTGTTCTTTTTAATCAGTAAAAAAACTAAATTAAAGTTGCCGCGAAATCGTTTCTTTGGACATTATGACGTCTCACTGGTGTGTGACGCTACAAGACTGTTATAAAAACGTCAAACGATACAATGTAATGCCACTTCCGAAGAAAGTTTACTAGCGTGTGACGTCATTTTAGTCTTGGCCAATGCCAGCCGTTTTTGGTCACGTGATCATGGAGCAAAAAAGATTATTTCTATTAAAGATTTTACAGAAAAGTTATGAATAATATGTTCTTGCAGAATACTTAAATCTCTGCTATTATTCATATTAAATATACAAATCCTAACAATTGGTACATTATTTTTCATACTGTCAAATAGCCTATTGCTACTGCGCAGGGTTCCTTGTCTATGGTCGTTGCTCAAAAAGTTTGCGGGGGCAATTGAAAGTATAAGTTTGTTTCTAAGGTTTTCACGCACATCACTCATTATGCACTATTTTTATTTATTTATTGACGTTTCGCATCCTTTGCAGGAATGCGTCGTCAATAAATAAATAAATAAAATCAGTGCATGTAACCCGTTGTAACTTGTTTTATTGAAAGTATAAATGCTGAAAAATCTAGGGATTGGAATCTTCACAATTACATTTTATTTTCAACTTAAAGTTTAAGAAATCAAGACACACAAAAAGATATATAAACAACAGATAAGCTGTCAGTTTTTTTAGAATTGTCATTCGAGCCAGATGCAGAGTTGACTTGACCGAGTTCAGTAGTTCTTGTGAGATTAAGTCCCAAACATACAAACTTTCACAATTTATAAGATTAATAGGATATATACCCTAAGAAGAGGAACCCTAGGAAAAGAAGCAGGTAGTTAAGGGCTTTCCATCTGCAATCGTGGAGGTTAAGCAATTTCAGCAGAGGATAGTCATCGGATGGGTGACCAAAAACATATAATCTCGAGTTTCTCCATGCTTCAGAAGGCACGTTAAGATGTTGGTCCCGGCTGTTTCTGCAGTCGTTGGCACCCACCAATCCGCAATGCGCCCACGTGATGGGTCACAGCCCATTTCCCCTATTCCAGCTATACTCTAAGTGTGTTCCGCGGAACCCTAGGGTTCCGTGATACCTCTGTCGGGGTTCCGCAAGAATTTAGAAATAAAAAAATCAAAACACCTCTCTCTGGTCGCTCCGCGGCTGTGCGGACTCCGCGGCCGCGCGGAGACAAAACGCTATGAATGTTATTTATTTATTTATTTGTATTTGTATAAGCTTGTGTTACATTAGCTGGTACAATATCTCATAAGTTTGGTCTCAACAATTTTATACTTGTACAACGCGTTCGCTCTAAGTTTGCCGGTCTGTGGAATGCGCGTACCCTCCCCCACGTGACAACAAAACTTATAATGTGTCATAGTTTTACCCAAATATCTAACGTACACAATTTTTATTGTTACAATTAAATAAAAAATTTCGAACGTCATACACTCATACCTATCGCCAGCGGCAAACTTAAAACGAGCGGGTAGTATACTTGTAAGCGCTCAGTCTCTTTGATAAAAGCCGCCTCTGAATTAGACGCTATAGTTGTCAACTAGCGACTTTCGTCTCTAACTTCAAAGGATAAAGTCGATATTGTTTACAACGCTATTTTTAAATTTCTGTTTTTATTTTTGCTTTTTGTTTATCAAAGGTGCCGACTCGAGTATTTTCGAGAATATTTGAGATCGAGTCTAGGACTAAGTATAAAAGCGGCGATCGCGCGTTGGCGTCGTCAGTTGATGATTAGCGTTCGGAGCGATAAGTTACTACCTACTTACAAGCTCGCTAGCGAGAAACTGGTGTTCATTGTTTTACTGCCTGCTGTATTCTGTTGTCTCAGTTTTATACATTTCTTCCCTGTAGGTTCTAAATTTAGTCTCTTATACGCAGTAACGATTGTGCATTATTTAAACCCCACTATCCTGACTTGTAACATTATAAATAAAGAAGAATGGAACGTTGGCTTAAAGGTGTTAAACGTGTTCCAACAACATCTTCTAATGACGCTGAATGTTCAAAAGCAATGCGCGCGGAGAATTTAGCAATCACCGATCCAGAAGATGATGCCACGAGTGCCACGACGTCAAGCTCGACGGTTTCAAAGACGAAAAAAAGGAAGTATGATGAATCTTATATCAGTTTCGGATTTGTTGATTCCAACGGCTCATCTCTCTGCATGCTCTGTAGTAAACTGCTTCCTAATAGTTCCATGGCACCTGCCAAATTGCGTCGACATTTAGAAACCGTACACCCCGAGACTAAAGACAAGAATAAAGAATTTTTTGTTCGCAAAAAAGATCAGTTATTAGAAAGTCAAAAAAATATGATGCATGTAACACAAACTACCAACGAAAAGGCCACGGAGGCATCATACTTAGTTAGCTATCGCATTGCACAAGCAGGTGAAGCGCACACTATCGCTGAGAAATTAATAAAACCATGTGTATTAGACATAACAAAATGTATGCTTGATGAAAAATCTGCAAAGCATCTTTCTACTGTTCCGCTATCAAACGATACTGTTTCACGACGAATCCATGATCTGGCAAGCTACGTCAAACAAGAACTAGTTACACGTCTACAAAATACACGATTCGCTTTGCAAATGGACGAGTCGACTGATGTCGCTGGTTTGGCTATCCTGCTGGTTATTGTGAGATATCCATATAAAAGTTCTTTTGAAGAAGACATGCTTATGTGTTCATCGCTGCTTACAAACACTACCGGGGAAGAAATTTTTAATAAAATAAATATATTTTTTGAAGAACATAATCTCAGTTGGAACAATTGCATTGACATTTGTACAGATGGGGCCAAGGCGATGACAGGTAAAACAGCAGGAGCAGTGTCACGAATGAAAAATAAAGCGCCTAATTGTAGTTCCAGTCATTGTATTCTGCATAGACAAGCACTTGCGATGAAGCAAATGCCGTCTAATCTAAAATTAGTTATGGATGAAGCGGTAAAAATAATTAATTTTATCAAATCACGACCACTACAATCCCGATTGTTCTCATTATTGTGTGAAGATTATGGCAGCAAACATAAAACACTGCTGCTCCATACAGAAGTGCGATGGCTGTCTCGGGGAAAAACTTTAACAAGGCTATTTGAACTTAGAGCCGAGTTACAAATGTTTCTTTCAGCAGATACTTCTTTTAATTTGAAGGACCGTTTGTATGATAAAACTTGGTTGTTCCGATTGTCTTTTATGGCGGATATCTTTCAAAAACTTAACGAATTAAATTTATCATTGCAAGGTAAACAGACAACAGTGTTTCAGGCCTATAATAAAATAACTACTTTTAAAAGAAAATTAGATTTTTGGATCATTTGCATTGGTAAGAAAGAAATAGAAAGTTTTACGTTACTCACTGAGTTTGTTAGCGAAAACGACTCAGAAATGTTTGAAGATAATGTGTTTGAAGAATTGGTCCAATATCTCAGTTCGATGCGCGCATCTTTTGAAAAGTATTTTCCCGAAGAACACAATACAAAAATTAAAGTGAACTCCTGGATTCATAATCCTTTTTTACCCAACTTGGAAAAGCCTGAAAACATGTCAAATGAGATATATGAATCTCTTTTAGAAATGTCATCAGACACAAGTATGGAGTCATTGTTCAAAACGACGCCTCTTAATGATTTTTGGTGCAGAATCCAAGATGAATATGCAATGCTTGGCCAAATGGCTCTGGATATTCTTCTCCCGTTCCCAACTACATATTTGTGCGAAACAGGATTCTCTACCTACGCAGCCACGAAAACAAAATATCGCAATAGACTGGACGCCGAAGCTGATATGAGACTCCAACTTTCTTCCATCAAACCTGATATCAAGCAATTGATGAAAAATAAAAAACAGTTTCATACCTCCCACTAGTTAGATTTTTTCTTTTTTAATGTTTTCTATTATTGTCCTTACCAAGTGGTGAAGTAAATAATAATTAGTAACGGATACATTGTACTTTTATTATGCTGATTAATATAGAATACACTTATAAAAATAATTGTTTTATTGTAGGGTTCCATCAAGTATTTTGCTTCCCAAAAGGGTTCCGTCATTTAAAAAGTTTGAGAACCACTGCCCTATTCCATTAATGGAAAAAGCCTGTGCCCCAGCAGTGGGGACGTTAATAGGCTGATAAAGAACTTACTTACCAATTGGGCTGGACGTTGTGGGGCCTTCCAAACAATTCAATCTTCCTTGTGCCAGGGCTGAGTCGTTCTGCGAAATGATTCTACTATCAAATATTGTTGAATGCAATACATAATAAGGTGAAATTGAAACCAATTTTGATTCCTTTGTGATGCTATCATGACTATTTAATGCTGTACTTTACATATCATGTTATGTCTAAATCCAGATATAATATAGAATGAATTAATTTTGACGACCTCCGTGGCCGAGTGGTTTGTACGCTGGTTTCATGGTGTCGCCGTCTCGAGAGGTCCCGGGTTCGAATCCCGGTGGGGTGCAGATGTTTGTGTGATGAATACGAGCATTTTCACTTCAGTCATGGATGTTTAATATGTATTTCTATATAAATATACTAATATATGTACAGTATATGTATTCTATCCGTTACCCTAGTATCCCATAACACAAGCCTTGCTTACTTTGGGGCTAGGTTAATTGGTATGAGTGTTGGAAATATTTATTTATTAAATGTGTATCAAATCCGTTCAGCCGTTTCTGCGTCGTTGAGTCACAAATATACACATTTACATATTTTATAATATAAGCTGAATCAACAGGGAGACAGAGACAATGAAGGATATTGTTTACTTGTATCATATTAGCGCGTTCGGCTGCGATCTTTGAAGTTAAGCAACTTTTGCAGGTTGGTCATTGGATGGGTAACCAAAAATTTACCATCTCGAGTTCCTCCGTGCTTCGGAAGGCACGTTAAGCCGTTGGTCCCGGCTGCATCTGCAGTCGTTAGCACCCACCAATCCGCACTGGGCTCGCGTGTTGGGTCATGGCCCTAACTACCTATTCCATCCATAGGGAAGACCTGTGCCCCAGCAGTATACATTCATAGGCTGATGACTGTATTTTTAATTTTTTTATGGATGACTTCAATAAGTGCCTATAATGGCTTATGTCGAATACATATAATTTCTGTTTGTAATGGCGCGATTACATTTGGTCGTTAGCCCGAGTACGAAAGTGCAATGGAATTCGGGTAAACGACTAACACTCTTATTCTTAGTCGTTTCCTCGAGATTTTTTCCACTCGACTCAACCTCATTATTATGCATATATCGTATGCTTAGACAACAAAAATATCCTTCACTTGAGATATTCCTCACTCGAGTGGAGGTCGAGTCGAGGAATAAACTGTCAAACTCAAGGTAGCTCTCGACGTACCTTAAGGCTTCCTCGAGTGGTGTTTAAGGGGTTTTCAAGTTGTTTTTATCGAGAATTATGTCTGATTTTGAGATTATTGACGAATTGGTGGATTTTATGGATTACGTATACGATGATGAACCATATAATCCGGCGCGACGGTATTTGCGTGACGCCGCAATACTTTTGAGGTTTATGACAGTGATTCGTTTCAAAGAAGATTTCGGTTTAGAGAGATACAGTCATACAAGTAATATTTCCTCTGCTAAGCATTACACTAAATTGTAATAACAGAGGACTACCTGTACCGCCTTTAATACAATTACTGGTGGCTTTGAAGTTTTACGTGACAGGATTATTTCAAGTAGGTATTTACCTATGTTTGTTGTGTGATATTTTACTTTACACATATAATATGTCTATGCTTTTATGCTTTATACCTTTGTTTGTACTCTCAGTGGAGGAATTCTCAAGTTTGTTCAAGATACCAACTAGAAAATAATTTTCGAGGTTATTTGGAGGAACTCCTTAAGGAGCCCTCGTATGAGTTAGAGTCGAGGAACGTTTGAGGACGCGACTAAGAATATGGGTGTAAGTGTAAACGAACGGAGTCGAGTACACCCGTATTCGGGTAGATTTCGTTTTGGTTACCCGACACTGTCTTCCAGCGCAGATTCTAGTGTAAATATTGCTTCGGGTGCCCAAATTCGAGTAATGTTTTTCATGCATCCGAATACGGGTTAACGACCGAATGTAATTGCGGCATAAGGCTGATAATGACGATGAAAAAGAACTTACCAATGATGCCGTAAATTTCATCGGGTTTGTGGGATGTGGCGCGAACTTCAGCAACTATGACGTCACAATCCAGTCCGCGATTCAAATTCTCCGGGTTACCTTTCATACCGACCTGGGACAAAGATTGCTATTTTGAAATTTTATTCTTTTTTATGTTAAAAGTTAAAAGGGTGGCAAAGAAGCGTTTATCACGCCAGATGGTACGCGGCCACACTTGCGATACAAAAAAAATATCAATCGCGCCGTTTCCTAAATTATTATGAAACAACAAAAACTGCTATCCGAATTGTATAAAAATCTATAATAAGTTACCACGCTTGATAACGGAGCCTAGTTTGCCTGTATTTAAAAGGAATTTTCAAATGTGGCTAATAACGAATTGTTTTTCTCAGAGAATATACAGAAACGTAAATTGACTTAGAATAATATATAAATATTTTAAATGACATAAGCACCTATAAATTATTCTTTATTAAGCCAAGTAAAACTCATTACGGTAGCAATAGTTTTATAAAAAGAGCTTGCGCAATTTTCAATGAGTTTTTTACAAATATTGATATCTTTGAGACATCCAAACATAAGTTTAGGAGGAGTATTGCTGAACTCATATCAGGCTGAAGCTTGTAAGATAAATGTCACTTTATGGACATTTGCTTCAAAATTGCCTTGCTGCTTATTATATTATATATAATATATATATATATTTTGGTATGTACTTTAATTTCTTATGTGTGAGTTGCTTTTAGCTTAAATGTGTATTTTGCTATTTATATTATAAACATGTGTGACTGTTTGTTTCTTATAAATAAAAAAAAAATAGAATTAAATTAAGTGTGAATGTCAATTCACATGCTCTGACGAACTAAATGAAAATTACCACCAAAATGTATGTACTCTCTTTAGTGCGAATAAATAAATTTCATTTCATCGAATTCGAATAGTTGAATTCGATCTAGATATATACACGTCCAATGTGTACTGATTTTTAGTTCTCGTTACGGCTGTTGTGGTGCTGCTGTTCAAGTATTCATAGAAAAATTGTCATTGACGTATTAGCACTCGCAAACGTAACGAATTCGATATTGGTTCGTGCTACAGGTACAGTTCCTCTACTCGCTCGTAACCCCATAGCTTGAGGCACTCCGTACCTAACTCCATCTTCAAGAAATCATTATTACAATAATAAGCTTATTGACCGTATGAAAAATAATGTACCAATTGTTGATGTCTGTATTTAATATGAATATTAGCAGCGATTTTACTAATCTAAAATGACAAATAAATAATATTTTTTCTATAAAATTATTAAATAAAAATTATTTTCTGCTGCATGGACACGTGACGAAAGCGCCTGGGATTGGCTAAGACTGACGTCACACGCTAGTAAACTTCCGGTCAAAGTGACATTACATTGTATCGTTTGACGTTTCAATGACAGTCGCGTGACGACACACACCAGTGAGACGCCATATTGCCCAGAGAAACGTTTTCGCGGCAACTTGAAAATTTAGTTTTTGATTTAGTTATTTTTACTGAAATACTCAAGAGAATGATGAGTATCCACTTTTTATGGACTCCACAAACATTAGTAAGTAACGTGAGATCGTTTTCCAAAACTTGTCGAATACCCTATTAATTAATAACAATCGCTACTCACCAAACAATGTTCCTTGCCGTGGTTGAGCCAGTGTCCCGTACGTCCCGTCCGTATGATCCGTTGCAGCTGGTTCGTCTTCACCCAGATCAGCTCGTCGACTCGATCGTAACCCCACAGCTTGAGACACTCCCTACCCAACTCCATCGCCCTAAAAATTAGAATAGAATAGGAATATTTTAATTGCTCTCACAGTAATACATAGTTGAATACATTAGTACAATGTGATGTGACACACTTAAAACAAGAAAACAAAAATAAACTAGCTTAACCTGCTACTAGGCTTCACAAAATCAATAATTCATTTAAAGGTCATTGTGTTCGCTTATACAATAAAGTTCCAAGCAATATCCAAGAGTTAACCATAAATAAATTCAAAGATAGAATAAAAAAGCACTTATTAAAAAAGCTTATTACAAAGTGTCTGATTATATTACAGACAAAAATGCTTGGGTTCAAACTGGTAAATAAATCATGATTGTATTGACGTTGTAACAACATAATTTATTTATTTATTTATTTATTTATTTATGAATACACATACAACATAATTTATTTATTTATTTATTAATGATTTGTAAATGTTGTTACATTATACTTTTAATGTTGTGGAGTTTTTGTTACTCGTTTTTTTTCTCCACAGCTAAAAAATATGTTCCATTACAAGTGGTAGGGAGAAAAAAAATGCGACGAATCAAAAGAGTTGTACTATACATCTAATTTGAATAAAGATATATTGATTTCTGATTTCTAAATATTAGAATAGAATAGAAATATTTTTATTTCTCTCACAGTAATACATAGTACAATGCGATGTGACAGCGTGAAGAGCAAATGGATGTGGCTCAGCATAAACTGCTTCGTTACAGAATGTCTCGGGCAGCGCTGGTTTTCAGCCACACCCAAGTGGGTGTGGTGTCTTTAATATCATCTAAGGAGAAGTCTCCTTAGATGATATTAAAGATAATCATCATCATCATCAGCCTATTAATGTCCCCATTGTTGGGGCACAGGCCTTCCCCATGGATGGAATAGGGAGATTGGGCCATCATGACCCACCACGTGGGCCCAGTGCGGATTGGCAGGTGCTAACTTTACGAAGATTTATGGTCACCCATCCAATGACCGACCACTGAGAAAGTTGCTTAACTTCAACGATCACAACCGAATGCGCTAACCACCTGTGCCATCGAGCTCCTCACTATTAAAGATATTTTCAATAAATAATTGCATTTGCAATATTTGCATACAACTAAACTTCAACTAACGCGATACGCACACAGCCGAAACTTTGGCAAATCAAATATCTGAAAATGATTACAGCTGTCCATTGATTGGATAAGATGTTAAGAGGAAATCCCAACCAATCCCATGGTCATCGGTGTGTTGATCGCAGTTTTTTCGCCCCGCCCACTTGATCGCAGTTTGGGTGGAATCACTTTTTAACGCAGTTCGTATTCCATATTATTTCTAACTAGCGGCCGCCCGCGACTTCGTACGCGTAGAGTTAGTTAGAATTCACACTCGAATTAAAAGGTTCACTGCTCGTTCCCCGTAGGAGATAGCGTGATAATATGTAGCCTATAATGTTGACCCGACTTTTTAATAATATTCGTGCCAAATTTGAAGTAAATCCATGCAGTGCTTTTTGAGTTTATCCCGGACATACCTACAGACAAACAGACAAAAATTCTAAAAACTATACTTTTGGCTACGGTATCGATTGTAGATCACATCCCAAGTATTATTTAAAGAAAAAATTCAATGTACAGTTTTGACTTTCCTACCATTTTATTATTTTTCCTATCATTGACGACCTCCGTGGCCGAGTGGTTTGTTCGCCGGGTTTCATGGCGTCGCCGACTTGAGAGGTCCCGGGTTCAAATCCCGGTGTGGGGCAGATATTTGTGTGATGAACACGAGCATTTGTACTCCAGTCATGGATGTTTAATATGTGTTTCTATATAAATATACTTATGTATGTACTGTATATGTATTCTATCCGTTACCTTAGCATCCCATAACTCAAGCCTTGGGGCTAGGCTAATGAGGGCTATCGCGTATGAATCCGCCGCTAGAGGCGCTAGTGTAGCGTGAGGTCTCCGAAATGTCAAATGTTATTGCTTGTTGGTTGACTACGCGGGTTTATTTCTAATTAAAATAATGTTGTGAATAATTGGTAACAATTCGCCTTAATTATGGCAAATATGAATTATGTGGCAATGAATGTCAGTTATTAAAAATTTGAGCTTAGAAAAATGATTATGTTCCCATTTTTTCCGAATAAAACGGAACTGCGCGTCACTATGGCATGGCCTATTATGTTTAGGATATGGTTCTTTTGTGTTAAAATACGATCAAAATGTAACCTTTGATTTCATGTGCGTATTAATAAACTAACTTTTAAAGTTACAATTTAGGACCTCACTCAACAGTGGCGCCATCTGGTGAGGCAGAAAACGGTAGCCCTCATTGGTGTGAGTGTTGGAAATATTTATTTATTTATATGTATAGATTCGCTGCTCACCTGCCGGTGACCCAGAGGAATATCAGCCCGCTGTCTTGCAGCTGCGGTATGCCGAGGCATCTCATCTCGTCGTCGGACATAGTGCCGTACGGCAACTCCATATGGATGTCCCAAGGCGGATCGGCCATTATCACCGCGAACTTACCTACACACAACTGCGCGCTTATTTTTACGAAATTATATTTAAATACATTAGTTCAACTATTGAACTTTTTGATGTGTAACATCTTTCCTCTCGCTTTCCTGCAATTTGTGGGAGTGATTTCGTGAAATGGGACGGAGGTGTGTAACAGGAAGTCAGAAGAAAATGGTGGCAAACCTGCATATGGCCAGCCTGATGGTAAGCGGCCACCATAAATTTGAAATGAAATTATACTTTTATTCAAATAAACTTATTGAAAGCTACTTTGAATCGTCCAATATTTATTCCTACCACCCATCCAGGACAGCTTTTAGCTAATGAGATGATGAACTGGGCCCAAGAAACTCATCAGCATTTCACAGAAATAGCAACATTTAGAAAAAAATCACACCAACAACACAACCAATACGACGCCCACCCACATTTTGATTGCTGTGTCATCTATACATCATCAGCCTATTAATGTCCCCACTGCTGGGGCACAGGCCTTCCCTATTGATGGAAAAGGGAGATTGGGCCATGACCCACCACGCGGGCCCAGTGCGGATTGGTGGGTGCTAACGGCTGCAGATGCAGCCGGGACCAACGGCTTAACGTGCCTTCCGAAGCACGGAGGAGCTCAGATAGTAAATTTTCCACCCATCCAATGACCGACCACTGCGATAGTTGCTTAACCACCTGCGCCATCGAGATCCTCAATCATGTCATCTATACTTATAAATAAAACTAGCTGACTCGGCGAACTTCGTACCGCCCAAAAGTAATAATTTGCAATAAATTAAAATTGCGACTATAATTTGAGATTTAAACTATGCTATCTCTCAAGTTGGATCGAACTGCACATGGTGTGCGAATTTTATTATAATCGGTTAAGTGGTTTAGGAGTCCATTGAGGACAAACATTGTGACACGAGATTTATATATATTAAGATTGGAGTGTCTGCTTGTAATATTGGAATAACCGCTTTATACTACATGCATATGAATATATACGGTACATACACCAAAATAACATTTTGTACATTTTTTGTCCGTCTGACTGTTTGTTCCGGCTAATCTCTGAAATGGCTGGACCGATTTTGACGGGACTTTTATTGGCTGCTGATGTAATAAGGAGTAACTAAGGCCTTTTATTTTAGAAAAAAAACTAAAAGTTAACGCGGACGGAGTCACGGGCAGCAGCTAGTACAGTATAAACAAAGTTCTTTAAGGTATTAATGATTCAATATTAGGTATAATAGATAAATATATAGACGGTTGCGGTACAAAAAATATCACACGCGCCTTAGCCTACCCTGGCCCAATCCCCTACATGTTTTCTCAATGTCTTACCTAAGAACGTCATGTCAAGATATCGTAGATCGCACTGTATCCACTGTGGAGGTGTGAGAGTTAGTACTCCGTCAGGTTTGGATACTACACTTGTGCCTGTTCAGAGGACAAAATGGAAATATATTAACAGTCGTTATCAACGATATTAAATACCCTAGATACACCACGTGCGCTAAAAATGTGTCCCAATCAAGAAGTGCTTGAACACGGCTCAAGCACTTCTTGGTTCACAGTCACGCGCGGACCGTTGAAAAGTCAAGATGCCTCAGAGCTCCGTGAAAAAATGCGTAATACATATTCATCCGCATATAGCAATGAGTCGTAAATTTTACGAGCTTGCACTTCGAAATGTCATGTCTCTTTGACGCATGCGTTTTAATTAAGACCTTATACAGTACGCATTAAAGGTGACTTTCAATGTTTAAATAATGCCTTATATTGTTTTTGACTACGCGATCATCTTACGGAGCCCCGTGGATCGTCCAAAGTATCTTTTGGACAAGTTTCGGCCACGATTTTGTTTATGATGTTGTATCTAGGGTATTTAATATCGTTGGTCGATATAGTAAGTGCGTGTAAAATAAAAAGTTTTTAGCGTTATATTGTTTCAAATTGTCAATGGAATAAAAGATCTCTTTTATAAATAACCCTTAGTGGGATTTGAACCAAGAACATTTGATTGCATCGGCTGAATGTCTTAGAGGTAAATCTTACCATTTTGTGAACCTTTCATTGGTGTATCCGTCGGTTTGCCCGGATTAATGTTAGGATCCGTGTTGTCCACTTCATAATGAACGTACCTGCGCAAATAGTTAATGAATATTAATAAAAAATAATAATAAATAAATATTTGAAACACTCACACCAATAGGGATGATGACTAATTTTTTTTCTTTGTTTATCAGGTAGATTATCAAAAAGTATTGGACACGTATTTTTTCTTTTTTCACATAATATAAACATTGCAGAGATAAAGTCGCATGACGTCACGTTTGAGTACACTTATAAGTGAAAATTCACTCAAAAGTGACGTCACGAGCCCCTACTCCCAAACTTTGACGCGCTATAACTATCATTTTTTGGTTGATTGCCCAAAGAAAAAATACGTGTCCATTATTTTTTGATCATCTAACTGACGGACTAAATAGAATTTCGTTTACTGTACCCTGTCATCACCCCTATTAGCCTAGTCCCAAAGTTAGCACTGTGCAGCTTATGTTATGGGATGCTAGAGTAACGGATAGAATATTAAACTGATATATAAAGAAGTATATTTTATATAGAAATATATATAAACATCCATGATTAAGTAACAAATACTCGTATTCATCGTACTAACATTTGCCTTCACCGGGATTCTAACCCGGGACCTCTTGAGTAGGCGACACTTTGAAACCCGACATATAACCACTCGGCCAGGAAGGTCTTCCAGTAGCATATAGTTTTATTAACTATGAAAATAGCACAAATCTAAGACAATTATGACCAGCTTTGTATCTATAAGAAAAATAAACAACATTCAAACATCGTATTATAAGTGCCTACCAGACTAATGCAAACAAGCTCTTAAAATTGAGAGCGATCTTCAGACGCTGTTTTGTATGAGAACAATATATCAAGATCGTATTTAAGATCTATTATTACAGGCCTAGGATTAAAATGGTGTCATTAAAATAGTGGATTTCATATATTACGACCTTGGTTGCAGCGACCATTCACCTATAGCGACGTTAAATCTAAGTCCAGAAAAGGCGGAAATTCATTTCTAAATGAATATAAGCTATACAGGTGTACGTATCTATTTACCCTTGCCTGCAACGACTTTCGGACATAACGACGAAAATAGAGTAGTCCCTTCATCGTCGTTATACCCGAATTCCACTGTAGTTCAAACTTACTTGCAACTATCCATATGGAAGCATGTGTTCAAGAAAGAACAATCGCCCAGCGACTCGTCCGTATGACTCTGTATGATCTTCTTAAAGTGTAGCTTCTTGCAAACATAGCTGGAGCTCACTGCTTCCTTCTGGGCAGTGAATGCTCTCATGCATTCAGCACGAGTTCCGTGCGGACAGAATTCCATCACTTGAGCACCTATGGACAATGTAATAAAACACTTTTTTAACACATTTGCTCAAAAAGTGCATTTATGGATGTTAGTAGTGTAGTTTAATTTTTCAGGGCAGTTACCGCACTTAATTCTAACTATCGGACCATTGTGCGTGTCTCAAATCATTCCCGTTTACTCCAGCCAGCCTATATTAGTCCAGAAGGAAAGCAGCCTTGATAGACTGCTGCAAGAACGACGATTCTGGCGACTGGAGAAGTCGTGCCCGTTGGTCAGCCACGCTCCTGCATTCCATGATGACATGCTGTGGCGTTTCTTCTGCCTCCATGCATCCTCTGCATAGGGGGCTGTCTGTTACTACTATTATGCTCCTATATATGGAGGTTGTACACATAGTTCGAAAATTCAAAATTACGGGCCGTACAATGGAGCGTGCGGTAAAACGTTTTACCGCACGCACCCATACATGGCGCCGTGCGTATTTATAACGGTTTTTTTATGTTGATGGAACCTTCTTGAACCGCTTTTAATCTATACCTTTGTCTCACTTTAATAATGAAAAGAAAAAGAGATGAAAGATATAGTTCTAATTTTGATCACCCGCACGTGGCGCCATTTAAAAATTAGGAAAAGTTTGCGTGATTACCTAAATTAGGCATAGTTGCTGTTTTCTCGCAAATGTGTTGGAAAATGTTGTATGACATTCGTGTGGATTGGTATTTACAAGGCTGTGACTATGTTAAGATACATACGTCTACTTGTTTTTAATAACCAACTTACTGCACCAATATCATAAATAACTATTTGAAGGGTATGAAGAGAGGAAAAGGTGACACTTTTGTTATTACTTTATAGTTATTTTAAGCATGAAGCTGCTAGACATATAAATCAAAAGATTTTTAGTCAAATTTTCTTTTGTTTTTCCTTATTCCTGTCTGTTGCGATCTCCTTTTCATTCTGCTGACAGGATTTACTTTAGTTAAATTATTTTCTATATTTAGAGCAGTTTGTAACTGGTGGTCTGAGGACCATTGATGATCCTTCAAAGCAACCAAAGTGGTTTGCAAAGCTATTCAAAAAAATATTACATTAGTAAGAATACTGGTTGATTTACAAATTCTGGAAGTGGGGGTGGAGTCAATTTTAACAGGTGGTCCCATGTCACAAAAGGTCAAGAACTGGTTTAGAGAATCATGTCAGTGCCCAAATGCAGTCTAATATTGATTTGAGTTCTTATATTTACCTCCTTGGCTTTTAAATTTATCAGCCAATGACTTCTCTTTTGCTGTGGGTTTGCTCAAAAGATCCATAATCTCTTCCCCTACCCTCTTCACAGCTTTTTCTCTGCTAGATGGCATAGCTAGTAAAGACTGAAAATGTTAAGAGTTATTGAGTTAATCTAAATTAAAAAACATTGAGGAGACTTTATGAATAATCTTTACCATTATATCAGTGTCATTCTTTGTGGTCTTCTTTTCATCTGTTGTTGTTTTTGATACTTTTGGGTGTGATGCTTCATCAACCACTTTATCACCTAAATATAACAACAATTTATAAAAATGGAAAGACCAAGACTGAGAAAAACCTCCACTGTGTCATGAAATTTTTGTATTTAAGAACAACTTTTTATCTAAGTACAACTACTGTGGTTAAAATAAAGTATTTATTAATATTTACTCAAAAAATTATACAGTTTTATCAAGTTTTTTAAATGATACATTTTTACTAGTGATAGTATATTTATTTACTAGTGATTTATAAAGTAATACCTTTTCTCTTAGTGATGGTGGATTGTTCTTCCATCAGAGCAGCTAGTACAGCTGCAAGCCTTACAGACTCAGCACTGACTACTTCTATACAACCATCTGTGGTGTTCTCTGCCTTTTCACCTATTCTAGTAACAAGAAGAGGCAAAATACAACTTTTATTCAGTGTCTGACTAAAGTTAGCTATAGTTTACTAATAAAATTTCTATTATTTGTTTATTTATATCAGGTACACTAACAGAATTCATTCAATACATGCTTAACATAAAAATAATAATTAAAGTTATCTAGACAGTAATCCCTCAAATGTGTACACCAATATAAATATTATCTGTGATATGCTACTGTAACATCAAAGAACAAAAATCCCCACTTACGTAATCAACTTCTGAGTGGCAAACTTCTCCAATAGGCTTGCAACAATGCCCGCGTCAACATCCCCCAAACCAGGCAGCAGGGCGCTGGCTGTCGCTGGTAACTGCAGCTGCATGTCAGACAAAACTTGCAACAAACGCACTTCTAAAGATGCTGAAGGCACAGGTGGTCTTGGTTTTTCTATAATCGGAGCTAAAAATGAATAATGATTGAGGAAAGTCATTTTTGGGATCAAACAGTACAGATAACTTTAACATAAGTTTGTAGTTTTTTTTTCCATTTGCTTCAAAAATACCCACTGTTCGCTTTCTGCTTAACATAACTGTTTTAAAGATTGAATACAAGCATGTGTACCTAAGTCATGGCTATTTATATGTATTTCTAAATATACCTATATAAATATATAATTGTTGTATTTCTATCCTTTATCGCATCTCCCTTTATGGCTAGCCTTTAAACAATTTCTTTGAGGATAATTGTTGTGTGTCAGAATTATTTTTTATACCCACAGATTATCATTTATTATTGTACACAATTAGAGCAGACAAATGATATTGGGTCACATTATATATTTTTCAGTGTTTTCTGTTCATTTTTACACTTAGCAATATGTATGCACCTATTTATGTAATTGTAAATTTAATTGTACTTCTTTATATTTTGTAACCTGAAACTATGTGCACAGGCCCTGTCAGAATACCAGCGTTGCCGTGACAAATTTAGTTATCTTTCACGGCAGCATTATGCTGATGCAGGGTCCTGACCTGACTAGGTCAGCGTTAACTTCGTTTTTTTGAAGGATCCTCACAAACCTAACATTTTATCGGGAAAAAAGTATCCTATGTCTCAATCTAGGGCATAAACTATATGGGTACCAAATTTCATTTGAATTCGTTCCGTAGTTTTTGCGTGATTGAATAACAAACATACAAACATTTATAATATAGTAGGATTTTGGATATTAGGTTAACTCTTTAACTCACTATCATTTTTCGACGGCGCCGGGCTTGAAACTGGTCGTTCTTTCGGTGATCCCTCGGCTTTATCCGGCACAACTAAGTTGGCACCAAGAATGTTCTGGCGTTCTTTCTTCCGCTTTTCGATCTTTTCACGAAAACTATTCCGTTTACTTTTGACGGCTTGGATTTCTTCCCAGGCATCAGACATTATTATTTTACAGCGATAACTCCCGATTATGACAATGTTAATGAAATTACTGTTTTCTGGACATTACAGAGAAGTTACTCGGTGTGAAAATTTATTTTACGTAGATAACTCATTTTATTAATATGTTTTTTTCATATCGGAATAAATTCTTAGATTGTCAAAAAGAAAACAATTGAATAATTATTTATTACAATTCACAGTCATGGTGATTGATACTAAAAATTAAAAAGTAACTAAATTAAAAACTCCTTCACAAGATTTTTTTTTTTTAATTTTATGACCTGGTAACAAATCTTCGGAAGATGCCCGCACCGCACACTGCACCGCGGGCTACAGGTTGTTTTCCAATTACAGAGCATAATGCGACTTAGTGGCGCACAATGCCGAATTATGCTGATGCTTAATTGGAACGTGAATTAGTTTTAAAATGCACCAGCAGAGTGCGCTAAGTTCAGTGTTGAAAAAAAAAGTCAATGTTTGTACCTTCATCCATACTTGTATTTTTGTTTTTACACAGTTTGAATTAACTATGATTATTTTAAAAAAATACTATAATGAAACGAAAGCTTTAATAATTTTTCAACAATAAATAATGGTATCGATTCTGGCGTGATTCTCTAAACTTAAAACTAAATTTAACATCAGTCTCTCCTTTTCATTTTGTATAGAGAATGACAAGGATATACTGCTGTCAAATTTAAGTTTAGGTTTAGAGAATCATGCTAGAATCGACACCAATATTACTAACGTTATCATATAAATAAAACATTTCGATCAATGCCAGCCAACTTAAAGAAAAAACACTTGTTAATTTTCTGTCACTGAGTTGGTACGATTGCACGCATCACACGCAAGCATTACTTTTGAGAGTGCTCGATTGTGCGAAGTGTTGCTGTAGTTGGAACATTCAACGTTAAGCATTATGCCGCATAATGCGCTCTAGTGCTGTTAAGTGGACGCACTAAAGGGATCGTTATAATTTATTATAACTTGGAAAGAGTAAAAGGAAATAAGGCTCATTTGCTACATCCTTATAAATAAAACTTCTAAAAATTATGGTTGCTTTCCAATTACAGAGCATAATGCGACTCAGTGCCGCACAATGCCGAATAGGCTAGTTTACTCATGTCGAATTGTATTAAATAAATGTTTATTTCTTAAAGTGTTTAGTCTAAGGAACCTTAATATATCGATTTTACTTCATAAAAGCAGAAGATTGCTGTAGAAATTTAATTTTAAAAAATATTTTTTAGTCTATATTTTTTAAACACTAAAAACGCTGTTCGCCACATTCGCCATGATTTTGACGTCTCTTGTGGTAAACAACTAAATGTCATTCGCGTGTTACTGTAGGTGGATTCTTTCGTCTGACTAAATTTATCTTAAAACACTTTTAACTTTAGGAAAGAAAAAAACAGTAAACTTATTTTTTTTTGACTAAACAAATTATGGATGCCGGCATTGTGAAAGCAGAAAGCACAAATCTGCCAAGAATTGACGCATTGATGGTTGGTGAATTTGTTGCACTAAACCCCGATTTCTGCTCTGCGGAGCAGAGAAACGACAAGGCATCTATGTAAGTACAGTGCATTTAGTATTACAATGTAGTAATAAACATAAAACTGATACAACATATGAATAAGTGTAATAAAGTTGCGTAGGTTAATTTCTTTCCGCACTTTAATCCACAACATTCCTGGAGTCTTCAAGGATGTGTTTTTATATTCTCGTACAATACAGTAATGATAATTACTTTATTTTTCGTGGTATTTATTAGAAATCATGTTTTTTTTTATTATAAACTCAGTTAAAAGTAATTTTCTACGTGTTTACGAGTTTTTGTTTACCACAGTTCACGTCATAGCATAGACAATCTATAGACTAAAATGGCCGACAGCGTTTTTGTATGTCCATGAAAAGTCTATTTTAAAATTAAAGATTTGTAGCTTTCTAGGTTTAAAAAAAATACAATACATTTTTTTTCGGTCTAATAGAACATTTATTAACCATTTAAAACCTTTTTCCAAAAAGGGTCAACTAGCCTATTATGCTGATGCTTAATTGGAACGTGAATTAGTTTTCAAATACACCAGCAGAGTGCGCTAAGTTCAGTGTTGAAAAAAAAAGTCAATGTTTGTACCTTCATCCATACTTATATTTATTTTTTTAACAGTTTGAATTAACTTTGATTGTTTAAAAAAACTATTTAATGAAACGAAAGCTTTAATAATTTTTCAACAATAAATAATATTACTTACGATAACATATAAATAGGCTAGTTGACCCTTTTTGGAAAAAGGTTTTAAATGGTTAACAAATGTTCTATTAGACCGAAAAAAAAATGTATTGTATATTTTTTAAACCTAGAAAGCTACAAATCTTTAATTTTAAAATAGACTTTTCATGGACATACAAAAACGCTGTCGGCCATTTTAGTCTATAGATTATCTATGCTATGACGTGAACTGTGGTAAAAAAAAACTCGTAAACACGTAGAAAATTACTTTTAACTGAGTTTATAATAAAAAAAAAACATGATTTCTAATAAATACCACGAAAAATAAAGTAATTATCATTACTGTATTGTACGAGAATATAAAAACACATCCTTGAAGACTCCAGGAAAGTTGTGGATTAAAGTGCCGAAAGAAATTAACCTACGCAACTTTATTACACTTATTCATATGTTGTATCAGTTTTATGTTTATTACTACATTGTAATACTAAATACACTGTACTTACATAGATGCCTTGTCGTTTCTCTGCTCCGCAGAGCAGATATCGGGGTTTAGTGCAACAAATTCACCAACCATCAATGCGTCAATTCTTGGCAGATCTGTGCTTTCTGCTTTCACAAAGCCGGCATCCTTAATTAGTTTTGTTAAAAAACACTAAGTTTACTGTTTTTTTCTTTCCTAAAGTTAAAAGTGTTTTAATATAAATTTAGTCAGACGAAAGAATCCACCTACAGTAACACGCGAATGACATTTAGTTGTTTACCACAAGAGACGTCAAAATCATGGCGGATGTGGCGAACAGCGTTTTTAGTGTTTAAAAAGTATAGACTAAAAATTATTTTTTTAAATTAAATTTCTACAGCAATCTTCTGCTTTTATGAAGTGAAATCGATATATTTAGGTTCCTTAGACCAAATACTTTAAGAAATAAACATTTATTTAATACAATTCGACATGAGTCAACTAGCCTATTTCAATCAATGCCAACTTAAAGAAAAAACACTTGTTAATTTTCTGTCACTGGGTTGGTACGATTGCACGCATCACACGAAAGCATTACTTTTGAGAGTGCTCAATTGTGCGAAGCGTTGCTGTAGTTGGAACACTCAACGTTAAGCATTATGCCGCATAATGCGCTATAATGCTGTAATTGGAAAGCTACCATAATCTTCGAAGATTGTTTTTTGTCGTTCGACTCTATGGCTCACATATCAATTTTGACAGTTCTTCCCCTCCGTCGCACTCCCCACCGCCTTTGATACCATAAACTGTGGTGACACTGGTGTCAATTCTGGCATGATTCTCTAAACCTAAACTTAAATTTGACAACAGTGTGTCCTTGTCATTCTCTATACAGAATGAAAAGGAGAAACTGATGTCAAATTTAGTTTTAAGTTTAGAGAGTCACGCCAGAATCGACACCACTATGGATCAGTTCAAGTTTCAATCGAATCGACTGAAGTTTTACGTTGATTAATTTCCGTAGCTTAGCCTCTCAACATCTTATAACTGAAACTGTAACAGTTTTCTAAAACCCAGATCAATGTACAATACATGCAGTGTGCATGACGTAAGGACGTTGCATTTTATAAATAAATAAATATTTCCAACATTCACACCAATTAGCCTAGCCCCAAACTAAGCACTATAAGGCTTGTGTTATGGGATACTAGGGGTAACGGATAGAATACATATACTGTACATATATAAGTATATTTATATAGAAATACATGCTAAACATCCATGACTGGAGTACAAATGCTCGTATTCATCACACAAACATCTGCCCCCACCGGGATTCGAACCCGGGACCTCTCGAGTCGGCGACACCATGAAACCCGGCGTTCTAACCACTCGGCCACGGAGGTCGTCAATATTTTATAAAATACCCAAATCTGAGACTCCTTTGATTTAAGTGCTTGACGTTGGAACATTTACAAAATTTCAATTCGGTACAACTTAAAAGGTGCTTTGTGTATGCCATACACTTTAAAAAACGGTGCTTTACAAGTTCACAAATAAGATCTCGGTTGCATCCAAGTGCCATCCCAAAATTGTTCACTGAGAGCGAGATTAAAAATGCAGTTCCTGATGAATCCGGTACGTATTGGTTCTTTGTTTGTAGGTAATACAAACCTGTTGGAAGTAGGAAACCAAAGGCAACAGGAACCAAAGCCTGTTGCCTTTCAACGAATTTTAGTTTTAATGTAGTTTACAATAATAATATTGCCAATACTTTTAATGAATAATTCGTTAATATACCATTAATTACTACTTCTAATTTAAGTTCGACGCCAGAGGGTGCTAGGAGTTTGCTAGAGACGTGTGTGCCTGGGTGTAATAACCTATTTACGTTTAAATATGTTGATTTTATGGATATTATAAAATGCTTTAACTCACTTAAAAAGAAAAATACGTGTGATTTATTTGGAATGTCTATTATAATTACTAAAAGTATAATAACAGTTATCGCTCCATATCTTGCAGTTATATTCAATAAGTGTATTGATCAAGGTGATTTTCCAGACCTTATGAAATATAGTAAAGTTATCCCTCTATTCGAAAACGGCATAAGAGATGATCCCGGTAATTACAGACCTATATCAATATTACCGGTATTAAGTAAAATTTTCGAAAAAAATATTTTAGTACAATTATTATCGCATGTCAGTTTGAACAAACTGTTACATAATAATCAATTTGGCTTTATTAGGGGTAGATCAACAACGGATGCGGGTGTTGCACTTATTAGACATATAATGGAAGCCTGGGAGAAGTCGCAGAATGTTCTTGGGGTATTCTGTGACTTATCCAAAGCGTTTGACTGCGTTGAGCACCAGGCGCTGGTGTTAAAATTAAATCACTATGGAATCAAAGGCGCCGCTACTATCGTATG